AAGCTGTAAATGTTCTCCGTGATAACATTTATGTATTTTTCGGCAATAAAGTTTATCGACAGGTTGTAGGTATTCCTATGAGCACCAATCGTGCCCCTTTAGTAACCCGTCTAAATTCCATTTAATTCATCACGATTACCGTTATCTTGATGATATTTTTTCGTTAAATAATCAAGAATTATAACTCTAGAGAACATCTGGATAATTTTAAATCTCGATCTAATTCTATCAAAACTGTCGATTTTTCAACCCTGTTTACCACCGTTCCCCATGTGAAATTGGAAAAATCGTCTAAAAGAAATAATCCACAATGCTTTTCAATATAAAAATGGTAGCATACGCTATAAATTTATTACTTTGGGATACCATACGGCATATTTTGTTAATAGTGAACAAAAAGGTAAAACATGCTACACAGAGGAACAAGTGATCAGTATGCTGGAGTTTCTTATTGACAATATATTTGATGAATTTGGAGGTAGACTTTTTCAACAAATTGTCGGCCTATAGGAACAAGCTGTGCGCCTCTCATTGACGACCTCTTATTTTCATATGAGTCGGAGTTCCTTCAGACACTTGTCGAAAACAAGAAAATCAAAGAAGCCAGATTATTTAATTTCACATTCAGATATATTGATGATGTTCTTTCCATTAACAATCCAAACTTTTCTGATTGGGTTCCATTAATATATCCTCCAGAACTAGAAATTAAAGAAACAACAAACACGACTTCCTCCGCCTCATTTTTAGACTTATACCTCGAATTTGACATTATCGGTCATCTTAGTACCAGAATCTATGACAAACGAGACGATTTTAATTTTGAAATTATCAATTTTCCCAACCTTAGTAGCAGTATACCAACTTCACCTGCATATGGGATATACATTTCCAAACTCATTCGGTATTCAAGAGCTTGCAGCTGCTACCCAGACTTTATAAAACATCACCAGTGTCTGAGAAGAAAGTTGACGAACCAGGGTTATGTCAAATAACGTCTCGTCCTTTTTATAAAAAAGTTCATCGGAAGATACCAAGACCTTGTTTATAAATATTCCGTATCAACTTCACAAATAATACATGATGGTCTTGAAGTATAGATTCTATGTACTGACGTTGTTTATCATCTCCATTACGTGTAATAGTGTTCTTTTATTCGTCTTTGTAAATTATTAACCTTTACTGTTTAGTCTATTTTTTGTAATATCCTTTTGGCGTGGCTAGGTACTTATGGATCCCGCCAATGTGTTGTAGTGCTGTGGTCATTTTTTGTATTCTGACTGGTCTTTCATTTTAGCTTATGTGCTTTGTCTTTATGCCATTTTGTTTTTCTATGTTGACATATTTGTTAGTTTTTAAAGTGATTAAGATTATAAAATAATGTTGACTGCTGTACCCCTATTTTTGACATTTTTACCTATTATGTCTGTCTGTTTTGTTCACATATAGTTGTTAATATAATTGAATTTTATGCGACTGTCATACAAGTGAGAGGTTTAATCCACCATTCTCTACATAAGGAAATACCTGTACCAAGTCAGGAATATGACAGTTGTTTTCCATTCGTTTGAATGTGTTTGAGATTTTGATTTTGCCATTTGATAAGGGACTTTCCGATTTGAAATTCTTCCATATATACAAAGATTTGGTTTGGAAGTTTGGATGTTCCTGTAGAAAACTTATTTATAACGGAATAGCACATCTTAATTTTTACGGTGATGTTGTTTACCGAGCCCGGAAATTTAGATACGAACTTTTCAATCCTTTATATAATTTTATTCTAAAAAGTTATCAATTCAAACTGTAATTAAACCTTTGAATATTGATTACGTTGGTATAAGTATTGATTTTGTTATCAGTAAACTAAAAACATGCTAAATATTATTGTTATACACATGTGCACATTCACGGTTCTACAATATGTAAATACCTTTATTTTTGCATTGCACAAGGTCATGTTTTTTTTTTTGCCTGTTAATGATGTCTTTAAAGATTGCACTTTGTAAATACAGCTCTTTTTGGGGAGATATCTAATATTCATAGATATTTTGTTTTGTTTACCTACTGGTTTCCAGATACGATCTCTATGTTTCATCCCATAGAGACTTGGAAATTTTACCAGTATAAATACACATGTATAGCGACCGAATTAAAGTCAGAGGAAGACCACAAGTGAAGGGAGGGGTAGTACATAATTTGAGTATACGTTTAAACTCTTAGACGTTTGAGGCATATACATGTTGAAAATATGCAGCACAGCCCTATGTTTTGACCATTGAAAAAAATAGTAGTGCATATATACTTTCAATTCTAGGATATAATATTTTACGAAACTTCATAGTAAAAGTGGCACTGTTTTAGCCGTAAAAGGAGTTCCTATCAGAAATTGCAGTGTCTATCTTTACAGAAGTGCAACCTAAACTAAATCCATGGGATTTGGATGTGTGCTGATTGATATTTTAGTCTTAAATTATTCTTTAATTAGTTGTTTTTGGCTGTGAACTAGCTGTCAGTAACTGCAAGTACACTCATGTCTGTTCTTTGTGTCTTTTTTGTTGTGAGGGATGTAAAAATTCCCTGCCTAGTGCAGGCTGGCTTTGTATCGATTTGATGAGTTAATCATTTTCAACACATGTTTATAGTTTGTTCGCGTGTACTGTTACACCACTGTCCGATGTTAGGGGAGGGTTGGCGCCTTCAAACAGGTTTAACCCCGCTGCATTCTATATATATGCCTGTCTTAAGTCATAAGGCTGTAATTGAGTTGTCTTTTTTGTTGTTTCTCTTATTTGTTTTTCGTTTATTGTTTTGTATAGTTGGTTCTTGTGTTGTGCCGTTATATCACAGTCCCAGGTTAGGGCCGGAGGGGGGGGGGGGGGGGGGGGGGGGGCACCTTCAAACATGTTTAACCCCTCCACATCCTTTATGTACCTGTCCCAAATTAGGAGCCTTTATTTCAGTGGTTGTCGTTAGTGCTTGTCTGTCATACTTGTTTTAAATTTCAAACTCATATTTTTTTGGTTATTTCACAACTATCCTTACAATACCAACAAAACGTAGAAAGGACATATACAAATTACGACAGTATACTTAATGTGTTTATATCATGCATCCGCAACATTTAAAAAAGAGGTATGAAGACATCAATTTCTAACTTTTGATGAACTTTGATTAAGAATTATAGTCGATATTTGACACTTTAGATTGTGTCGAAACTGGTACATTTGGCACTTAATGCTATAATTTGCAATTTGCAAGATAACATTTACTTTAGAAAGAGTAAGTTGATCAAATAGTGATGTGTTCTATTAGACGCTATGCAATAATTAGTCATATAGAAATGGATGCTAAATTTCATATAGTAGCAAACTATGTACATGTATAATACGCCTAAAAAGTGTACAAAACAACACCAATATTAAAAAAAAAGGAAACATTAAATGTAATTATCTATAAATATTTCGGATAACAGATATCCTTTATCAGTATAATTATCATGTAAAATGAATCATATCAATCTATTCTGATTTAACTATAACAATCTTTAAATTTTATACAATTAATAAATTTAAAGATTGTTATATTTGTACACTTTTTAGGCGTTTATATAATTTATTTATTGTGTACAGGTATCGTTACTCGTAACGATCCAGTGCCCTCGTAAGAAACATCGTTGACTAATATCTAGACGTTTTATATATTTATATATTTATAATATATGTATATAATTCGTCTCAAATTTAGCTCAGCAATGTTAGATCTTCAAATTTGCGTTAGCAAATTTTTGTTCTTCCCTCAGCGGGATTCAAACCCTTGCTTCTGTGATATCGTGGCAACACCGCCTGCACCATTTCCAGCGCCCTAGACCACTCGACTACATAGGCTACATAAAAAATATATATAAATGACTAAGAATGTAACTTTAACACACTAATCAGTGTTATAAAAATAGTTGTTATATTTTATATATTCGCGCAATATTTCGCTAAATAAATAAGCTTCATCAGGCGCGTGCAGCCATCCAGGTAAAATCGGATGCTGTAAAGAAATGTTTGCAGCTTATTGTACATGTCCTTAAAATATATTTTTGCAGCTTATTGTACATTGCGATTATCAAATCAAAACAAATAATTTTGTTAGTTAAATAGTAAAAAGTTCAAGATTTATTCCTTTGGTTTTTTTATAATAAAATTGAGAATGGAAATGTCAAAGAGACAACAACCCGACCAAAGAACAGAAAACAGCCCAATGCCACCAATGGGTCTGCAACACAGCGAGAAAATCGTTTGATAAAACTGTTCTCCCATTCAGTCCATCAGGTTCAAGAGTACGTAGCTGATGCATCCAAACTCTCTGTCTGTTTTCTACTCTGGGTGTAGAGTAAGTATATAAATACTATTTTCCGTTTTACAATTAGATGTAACATAGATGTTGTATCGCTGCTTTGTTACTGTGCTGGTGAAAGAGTTTTCAGTGTTGGCAAATTTACAGCACTTACAATTGCATCTTCCGCATTGTTTGTAACACCCGATTTTAGAGATCTATTGTTTTTTTTACTTTAGATGTAACAAGTATGTCTTTGAGACTTTTGGGTCTGCGATAAGCAATAACAGGAGGTAATGGAAATTTTTCTTTTAAGGAAGAGTCATTTTCAATAAGACGCCAGTGATTGCGGACATTAAATGAAATATTTATCAGATCGGGATGGAAGGTGACAACAAACGGAATTATATCTGTGCGGTTCGTCTTATCTTTGTTGTCACCTTCCATCCCGATCTGACAAATATGTCATCTACTGTCCGCAAGCACTGGCGTTTTAATGAAAATGACTCTTCCTGATTTTTTATTTCAAGAGTAAAAACAAAGCCCAAGCACAGCTGTTTTCTTCTCCGCCTACTCAAGACAGCTTCAAAGATTCACCAAGTTTCACAATGTATCAAATGTTCATGTAACGTATTATTTTGCCCAAAAATGCATATACAAGAAATAAACTATTCAAATAAGCGAAAGCAAATTTTATTTAAAACTATCCAAAATGAAAGAAAACGAAATTAAAGAAATTCTCAAATTGATGAAAAGCAAGAAATATAATTAAATGCGGTCATAGATACAATTATATAATCCATACACAAGATACATTTAGAAACATAAGTATCAACAATACAGGCATTTAGGAACTATATTGAACATAACAGCTCATATCTCAGTACTAAAAAAAAACACATTACGGTAACATAATTACAGCCCCTAGAGTTTGACTCTATAACTGGTGATTAAGTCATGTCAAGAACCGAAAACAACATGAACAAGACTATGGTTTCATGGCTTGTTATGAATTGTCTATCCATCGGAGTATGTCTGATTCGTAGATACCATAAGTAATTAATCGGCTATTGTCGTAAAATATTTAAAATTTGTAAAATACAAAATGTAGTAAAGTTATCTTTCAAAAGATGCCAATGGAATAAAACATGATTTTATTGCAAGTGCAACAGTCTTTCACTAAAAAAGGAATTTAAACAAATTCTCACTCACTTGTCTTTAGTAGTCAAGCAAAGATTTTTCTAAGTAAACCAACCGTTAACATTTACCGATAACCAATAAGAGCTAATGAGTATTAGAATGTTTATCTGCTCATATGTTTACAAAAACTATGCCATTCATTTATATTAAGTTATACTGAGAAATCGTAATAGTTGCTAAAACGTGAAGGCAAAGCAAATAAATTCCACGTTACTTTCAAGGTGTTCAATTCTTAGATGTGTTGAGTAAGCTGTCAAAATGGCAGATCAGACTGAATATTGGATCCCCTTAACCGACTTCTTATAAAGACCACAGCATTTAAAGGATATAAGAAGTATATAAATTACTTGGATTTAATAGATGATTAAAATATGTTTAAGGAAATCAGGATATAAATAAGGCCAAATAAATAGCTATGTAATAAAGTAGTATGTGTTAGACAAATATTATTATACCTCAGTATGTTTTTTCTGTATAAAAAATAATGAAATAGTTGTGCTATTTCATTCCACAGACTATTTGCCAGTTAATAGTTTCAAAGACTATTACCCCGGTTAATAGTTTCATAATCATCTTTCCCGTACTTTTTCATGCTTATTTTCATTGGACAATAATGATGTCATTGACTATTTTGCTTGGCAACGTCAAACTCTAATATTGTAAACGGTATAATCTGTTTGTGTCGATTGTAATTTCACTTACAAGAAGCAATTATAAAAGAGAGAAAATCTTCGCGCGCATTTTTTAAAGATCTAAAATATAGTACCTTATTCATAATATGGGTTCGGTCGTCGTATTCTAAAAGCGAATTTGCGTTTGGTGTACTTAAACTTAAATTTATCATATGCACGAAAAATTTAACACAAGTATTTCTAGTCTTGATTGCAATTATTGAAATATTTACAAATACAAGAAGAACTATAAAAAAAACCGTATAGTTCATCTTGTGCATGTCAAGTTATGTGACATTTTTTTCTTTTCTTTCAGATGATATATGTACACTTTTAGAAAATTAGTTAATTTGGTATATAAAAACACTTAATGACTGTGTTGTTCAGTATAATAAAACACCTAATGACTGGTTGTGCGGGTAATAGCAAGTTTGTAGTCCCTTCGCATACCAACTATTGCTCTCGGCTTTGCCTCGAGCAATAGTTGGTATCTCAGGGACAACAAACTTGCTATTACCCTCACACCCAGTCAATAGGTGTATACTATTGTCCTTCATTGTAAGATATGTACAGTAATGTAGCTTTTTTAAGCAAAAAATGGTGGTATAGATCTAGCGTATTCGATTATACTAAATAATGTTCTAGAAAAATATTTAAAAATTAGCCGCGTATTTTACAGTTTACTCTAAGCGAAATCAAACTTAATGAAGGATAAAAATGAGATCTCTATTACATATTTACATACACATTGATTTTTTTGTATTGTGGATAAATCGTTACATCGACAATGGGTATAGATATTATTAAAAAAAAGTAACAACGACTAACGATCTTTTTTAACAACCTTCAATAGTCTACGAAAACAAGAAGAGTTTCTGATAACCTTCGATAACCCCGAAGAGTCTACGAAAACCTTGAATAGTATACGATAACCTTGAAAAGTCTTCGATAACCTTGAAGAGTGTACCATAACCTTAAGTAATCTACGAAAACCTTAAATAGTCTAAGATAACCTCGAAGAGTCTACAATAACCTTGAAAAGTTTACGATAACCTTGAAGAGTCTTCGATACATTTGAAGAGTCTAAGATAACCGTAAAGTCTATGATAACCTTATACAGTCTACGAAAACATTGAAGAGTTTATGATAACCTTGAAGAGTCTACGATAAAAAACTCAATACCCGTGAATAATCTACGGTAACCTAAAGAGTCTTCGATAACCTTAAATAGTCTACGGAAACCTTGAATAGTCTACGATAACTTTGAAGAGTCTACGGATAACATTGAAGAGTCTACTGTAACCGTGAAGAGTTTACGATAACCTTGAATAATCTACAAAAACCTTGAAGAGTTTATGATAACCTTGAAGAGTCGACGATAACCTTGAAGAGTCTATTGTAACCGTAAAGAGTTTACGATAATCTTAAATAATCTACAAAAACCTTGAACAGTTTATGATAACCTTGAAGAGTTGACGATAACCTTGAAGAGTCTACAATAGCATAAGCTTAATAATCGATTTGACTAGTACTTCCAATTTGTCAGTTAAATATTGAGTTGGGGATATAATTACTTTAAATTTTAGAGAATAAAATGTATAGTTTACATGCATCATGATTAACAAAATTATCATTAAGACTAAAATAAATAAAAAATATTGAGTATAAAACATTCGAATGAGAATAACACAATTCTTGATAGATGAAAAATTGTGTTGACACCAAAGTTTGTGAACCTTCGAGCTGTAGAAAAACAATATGAGCAGAATTTATGCAGCAATATTTACAAATAGATCATTGATAATGAAACAGCACACTATGTTTCCTTCTCCGTCTTTATATTCATTTATTTACCATTAAAAATTTGCATAAACATTTGCAGATTCCAGGTGAACATGCAAAGCTTCATAACATCTTTTGTATTCCTCCTGAAAAAAATTTGATTTATTCATAATGAACGAAACATTATAATGTAAAATAATGATTTTATAAACGTTGAATATCTATTTGACAGTTGACCGCAACCTGACATGAGCGACACAACGGTTTTTACTAGTTGATCAAGCACTGCTAGAGAACCTGGGTTCACCCCCTTTTTCTGTAGCTTTTTGTTGCATAATCTTTAGTTTTCTGTCAACTGAAATTTTTCTTTTTTGATCATGGTGATCATGGTGGTGATTGCTATATTTCGACTTATGACTTTTGATTGCTCACTTGGTATCTTTCCCCCTTTTTTTTAAATTGAATATAATTTGTATATGCTTCTAGTTGTACAAACCAATATTTACACAATCAATAAACTAAAAAGTTAATTCAACAGATAGAGTACCTACAGTTACTGAAGTTAGGTTTTATTTCAATGTATAAAGTTACAAAGATTTGATAGTGAAGTTTGACTGTATTTAATTCTTATTAAACAAGGGACATCACATCCTCACATTTACGGCTATATTGTTTTTAAAGCCGTAAGATTAGATACTATCACCGTAAAATCTTTATTCTTGACTTAAGTTATTCTTAAAGGATATCACTTCAACAGCATAGGAAGATCTTTAAATATCGTTTTTATCGGTACTTATATTGATTGTGTTTTTGACAAATTAAAACATAACTTTATATGTATTGCTATACATTTATGAAAACTAATGATCCTACATTCTGTCGATACCATGTACTTATTCTTTTGCATTGTACAAGGTTATGCATTTCGCAGACTATCAATGAAATCTTTACACTAAATTAATTGTTATTGGCTTTAATTGAACTAGCTATCAGTAACTGCGAGTACTTTTGAGCGGTACTTTGTGTCTTTTGACTTTTGACTCTCTTAATTTTAGCTACCTGCCAATCAGACGAATCAAGACATTTCCAACTGATTTTTAAAGTTTGTTCCTCTGGTGTGCTGTTTCGCCACTGTTCCAGGTTAGGGGGCGGGTTGAGAGCTTAAAACATGTTAAACCACACCACATTCTATATGTGCTTGTCACTACTAGCTGTCCGTCTGTTGAATTTAATTTTACTTTATTGTTTGTCATAAATCAGGCCGTTGGTATATTTCGTTTGAATTGTTATACATTTTGTCATGTTGGAGCTTTCCATAGCTGACTATACGGTATTGATTTTGCTCATTATTGAAGGCAGTACGGTGACCTAAAGTTACTTAAATCCGATGCATTTAGACTATATTGGATAGGTGTCTCATTTGGCAATCATACCACATATTCTTTTTATATTTAAGCTCCCAAAATGATAAATAATGAATTGGTCAAAATATGTCAAATTGTGACAATAGGTTTAAAAACATTTGTTTGTACTTACAAAGTCTGTGAAGAACCCGGGACGTCTCAATTGTAGAAGTCTCACAAGTTGGAAGATATCTGCATTGTTATCAATCTGCATACTGGAAACGGCATTAGTGAAAGCACAGAACAGTCCACAATTCTTGGCGCCGTCACTGCGTTAACAAAATATCAATTACAAATGATACATTTGTTAAGAAAAATAGTAGTACATTGGAAGATGCACTTATGATAACCGAAGTTAGGAGGACAACACAAACTGGGTTTTATTGTACTCTTAAGTTAACGGTAAAACATAACTTTCATCTTCGAGGTCCCCATATAGTAATCGATGTGATCGTTTTCATTTCCATTCTTTTCATTTCACCATGATAAGTTTTTCATGTTTTTCGAGTAAGGCATCGTCTCAATATGAATAAATAGGAGATTAATATTTGATTTTGGATCAAATTATTTCATCCAGCATTTTGACTATCGCCACTGGGCCAAATGAATATTATTCTTTGCAATAGCATTATCCTTCATCTTTTATACAATATCCTTTTCATATATTATAAATTAACCGTTAAAGAAGAAAATTTCACCAACCTTTTTTTTAGGCTATTTGACGTCAAAAACGAATTAGTAAATTCTTTTCATACCTGCTTACAACTGTTACCGGATCATTTGACATAGCTACACGTGTTGAAATAAGGTCGGCAAGTTTACAGAGTGCAACGGGGTCAGGTATTTTGTTACATACGACTTGCAACAGTACCACTTGTCTCGGTTTGTCATTCTATAACATAATAAACATTTCTCTAATATATTTCCGATTTTGGCTATTTTTTTTTGTATGATGCTCATAAATCTTTATATTTGGGTTCCCAACTTTTGACCTCAAGCGAACCTAAGGAAGGTCATTCCAGAAACATGTCGTGTTTACCGAAATATCAATCACAGGGTTTTAACAAGTACGTGTCAAGACAGTTAGACTGCTCAGAATATTTGTTAAAACATTTTTGTATTTACACCTTGATATATTAGTTTGTAAAAATTGGAAAGCAACTGTATGTTTTAAATCAAGCTTTAATAATAACATTAACAGTACATATTTTACTGCACCAGATACGCATTTTGACAATTAATGCCTCTTCACTTATTGTTTGAAGCCAACACAACCTAATATAAACGTTGAAAAGTCGATAAAAGCAAAAAAGGACCAAAAGACAAAAAATAAAAGCCCTTAGACGCCATGACCATTTATATGTCTCATAGTTTTTAAGCATGGTAAAAATTTAATTATCATATCTTACCTTTTTATAGAGAACCATGGTTGCCTTTGTGATGTCGTTTTCGCCCTCTTCTCGTGTCGATATTTTTATACTGAATTGACCAATGGTAAAAGTATCGCCCGATTGTGAGTACACCAAGTCAGCCTTAAATATTATAAGAATGAACATGTGGTATTATTGGTCTTAAAATCATACATAGACATTTTAAATAAAGATAGATATATGAAATAGACTTCAACCGTAAAAAATGTGATGACGACTTTACGTAGTGCATATATTTACCTCAACTACATGAGTAGAAAAAAAGGGACATTGAATTTCATTATCTTACCCAAAACTGATCGAAGTACTGAACACTTTAACTATATAAAATTTAAATACCAATGCCAAAACAGAGTATACGATTGTACACCTCATTTATGAAATATTGCTCCAAATTCACTGTTAGTATAAAACTCATCCCTAACCTCTTTTTTGTTGTTAATAATCAGTACAATGGTCGAAGAGCTGTGGTCCCGTATCATTGTCCAGAAATCTACCGTAGTATCTGGTAATGGTAGCTGTGTGGTAATGTATCCAACAAACTTTGTGTAAGACTGGAATACATAATTATAACATTTGACCATAATTCATTACTTATGTAACAAAAAGAATTAAAATATTATTAAATAAATACTAGTTTTTACTTTTGCTATCTATTAATTGGTTTACAGTACTTGAGTTTCACTTGTCTTTTATCACAATGTTATAAAAAGAAACCTTGTTAATGATACAAAGCCTTTTAGGTTCCGAACGTCCTTCTTTTACCTCTGAAAAACGTCACCCTTAACATTGTTATCTATTAACAAGCTTCATGTAACATAATATTCTCTGTTTTTTTTTTCTGTAAAAGTGTTTTCGTTGTTTCATTGTATAAAAAACCACAACCGACACAATAATCAAAACTAAAGTTACGAAGTGGAGCTTATAAGATATAATACATACATAGTCTCTTTTCCTATAGAAAATCGGGTAACATAAATGTGTTAGAGTTTTATGTATACATACCGCACGTCTACGAGAAAGTTTTAGTTTCAAGTCGGGCGAACATAAACGTGTACTTCATTGTGATACTTGAAGGTAATTTGTTATTTTTCTGTTTGTTTTCAGCATTTTATGCTTGATTTCTGTAATGATCGTACAAGCCACTGTAAAATGTATATACGTTTCTCGTTTTTTATATAGATTAGACCGTTGGTTTTCCCGTTTGAATGGTTTTACACTAGTAATTTTTTGGGGCCCTTTATATCTTACTGTTCGGTGTGAGCCAAGGCTCCGTGTTGAAGACCGTACTGTGACCTATAATGGTTTACTTTTATAAATTTTGACTTGGATGGAGAGTTGTCTCATTGGCACTCATACCACATCTTCTTATATCTATATACCACCATTAAAAAAATGGCTTCTATGTGCATTGATCCTTAGCACATATTGTATTTCGTTTCCATCTAGTTTGATATGTTTTACGCAAGCTAACGTGTTGTTATTATGTTAAATTAGCTTCAAACCGGAAAGCAGATAGTTTAAAGAAAGCTGATATCTTTGACGATTTCAGACTGAGTGTTTAAACGATATTTTAAAGAAATTACAGAAATTACTGAAATTTCAGAATTTTGTAAAACTTACAGGCACTTGTACTGCATTAATATAATCTGATCTTTCTTTTCCATGGGATACGAGAAAAACTCGCTTATCATCCACTAAAAAATTACAAAAGTTGTTACCTATGGCATTTACTTATACTTTAATTTAATACAACTGACGCTTGACGACATTGGTACACGTTTTTTGATTGAGACATATATTTTTTTATGTTAGATATATTGAAAAAATCCACTTACGTATATATGATCATTATTAACGTATTCTATATAAATTAAAATTATTTGGAAGTTACATATCGTGTTGCCCTTATCTTATTGTCGTTGGGTTGACGGGTCATGACGTTTACCCAACATCTCCATTTATTCATAATTGAAGTCAGGAAACTATTTTTTTTCAGGACAATCAAACATTTAATTAGTCACAATGATAAAGTCACGTTTTTATCATTTGATCTACGAACAGAAACTGGTCGCAACGATATAGCCAAATACGTTAAACGTTACGTTAAACACAAACAAACACATTAATTTTAACATTTGAGATTTTATTTCTCTCTGTTTCGTTATGCTTGATCTGAAAGTTTCAGAAATGGATGGTTTTGTTTGAAAAGAACATTAACTTTTGTTTTTTGCTAAATTAAGGGTTTTCACAGTTTAAAATATACAAAATTAAGGCTGTGAATATATCTTGTCTCTCCTCATACGAAATGCTTTTAAAAAAACATGACAACTTACTGGGTAGAACATCTTTGTTTCTGTTTTTCGCTAAGTTTGTTGTACTCATTGCAGCATTATATTGGTTTTGGTTATTATCATCCTTCGTCGCATTGAGCATCTACAGTAAAATTATTTGATTGGCATTTTTACGAACTAGCTTTTTTATATATGTGTCTAAATTACTAGTAACCATCATAAGGCATGCTTGAGACCAAACATTTAAGAAAAGTACAACATAAAACGTTTGGGAGCCACAAAACAGAAGGCCTAAACGGATTTGACAAACAGTAAAGGGTCAACGTCATCCTAGAGATTTGTAAACTTAATAGAGAATTCAGTATATGGGTTGGAGATAGGAAAGAAAGTTTATATGGAAATTAACAAGAAAAAACAGCATACATATTAAATTAGAGCGAATGGTTTTCATTTGACATTATTATTTATTATACTTCACGTAAAAATGCAATACTTTAATTGGCTTATACAACGGTGTTAATTTACTCTATTCTATGGAAAATACTCTATTACCCTTCACGGAGATGCTTGATCAAGTGTGCGCTTTATTAAATACGACTCTATCCTATGGCAAATACTCTATTACCCTTCACGGAGACGCTTGATCAAGTGTGCGCTTTATTAAATACGGATGATTGTTATGTACAAATCGTCATAGTTTATTACTTTGAATTTGAAATTTAATCGACAGTAATAACAGAACATTCAGTATAATAAATTAAATAACACATATCTGAGAGGGTGATAGAGCAGATTGTTACTCCTCGAAAAGACATTTGTCAACCTTGGCTTCGCCTCAGTTGACAATGTTTTCTCGGGGTAACAATCTGCTCTATCACCCTCTCAGCTATGTGTTATTTATATAATATTATGTATGTGAAATTCACAAGAACAGTTTTCAAGAGATTAATCATTACTTTAATATTATGCAATGCACATGAAAACTAGCGATGCTTATAATACGGTATTACTTTTTATACAACATGAAAGAAAATAAGTTGAAGTTTTCCAATCAAAGAGCCCCTGAAACATCCACACGATTTAAGTTTGAAGTCTGAGAATTGTATGCTTTAAAAGATTGTGATTTTGATGATATCTTGAATGTTAACTATGTTATATGTAACAATTAATGATTAATGATTTTCTACATACATACAATACTTCAATCCGATAAAATAATACTTTAATAAAGAATAACTTAAAACCTAAGAAGAGTATATACAATTGAAATAACAAATATTGTTCATAACTATTATGATTTAAAACTGATCATATCTGCATCAAAAGTGAACCCATGCTTTATTGTCACAGAAAACAAAGTAAGCATAGCACTGCACATTCTTCTTAACGCAACATAGTCACATACAATGTAACAATGATGTACTGACTAAGCATAACCAATAATTTAAAAGTCATTCTTCTTTGATGTAACGTAACTTTAGCCAACCACGATAGCATATACTTCTTAACTTTATTATGAAACGATGAATTGAGTTCGAACATGAAGAATGAATATAAAAAGCTATGAAAAAAAAATAATGAATATAATATGAAGATACATGCAAGAAAGAAAAAAATACATTTACCAATTAGTTCAATAAAAAATGCAGAAAACTCATAACTGTAAACCAGTACTCCTCTTTAGAATGGACAGTGCACTTTATTAACAATCAATTGTTTTCTTATAAAAGATTAAAGATAACTCATCTGCAAAGCCTATTTAACCAACACAAAATAAAATTAAATGAGGAGATGTTCTTACTTACTGAAGATGATAGCCCCTTTATATCTCCTACATGCTGTTGGAGTTCCTGAATAACGTTTAATTAATATATAATAGATTTTGTCAGATGTCAATGAAATTGAAAATAATAATCACATAAACATGTCAAAATAATACGAATGTACTGTATAAAAAACACGATTCTTCGAAGTGTCATCCATTTTCGATGCAACATTTAATGTTGTTTAAACATAAATATATTATATTTCTAAATATGTTTCTAAAGTGTTGTTTTTATTTTTTACATATCAGTCTTACATGCCTTACATAAATCAGGCCGTTAGTTTTCTCGTTTGAATTTTTTTACATTTGTCATTTCGGGGCCTGTTATAGCTGACTATGCGGTATGGGTTTTACTCATTGTTGAAGACCGTACGGTGATCTATAGTTGTTAATTTCTGTATCATTTGGTCTCTTGTGGAGAGTTGTCTCATTGACAATCATACCACATCTTCTTTTTTTTATATTTATCATTTCAGTGTCGTGTATTGTGAAGATATAACATTAAACACTACTGGTGTATCATTATCTATTGTCTTTGATTTCTTTATGAAATAATGTTGACATGAAAGAGAGGATAAACATTTCCATAACATAGAGTCAGCAACGTGTCTCTTGGTATGTAGGACAAATTACATACATAAAAATGGGCTTTATATCATACGACCAGATCTGATTGGGGACGTTGATTTTAACAGGAACTAAAATAATTACTTTAAGTCGGAAGTTTTGACTGGGCATGTTTAAAGTTTTGACAGTCCATTGTCTATTAGGTTCATGGAACTTTAATCGTTCGGTTGTTGTCTCATTGGTAAATACCTATATTTCCTTTTATTTATTAGCCTGATTATGCGTCCGAATAAATGTCAAATAAACTATAAATTTTCAAATTGAGAATTGTGTACCTTAAATTCTTTGTTAAGCCTTTGATGATTTAGTGGTCTGTGATCAGTCAGTATACTCTGCCACACTTCACTGAACATGTCTTTTCGAATCTTTGTTTCTTTCATGGTGAAAGCTTCAAGTAGAGCATAGTGTAAACACACGTACTGATCCTGTTATGGCAAAAACAGAGAGAAAAACAAAGATGTTATTAGATTTTAATGACGAGGAAGAGGGTATGATCATGCCACATTTTTGGTAGGTCGAATTCGAAAATGAAAAAAAAGTATTATTAATCTACACAATAACATCTATTGGATGTATATGAGACATTACTCGATCAGATAAAAGTATTAATATTTCGTCTTAAATATTTGTTGTAGTGATTCAACCCATTTTCAATTGAGTGCAAACCTGCAAATTATCTACTAAATCAGCTTTCTTTAAAGATCTTGAAATTAATATTAAGACGACGAGCCATCCAAATAGGTATTTTGCTACAATATGTATATAAGATCGAATATGTCAATTTCAATATACAAATATGGATATGTGATATAATTGCCAATGAGACAACTATCCCCAAAAGTTCAAATGAAGTGGATGTAAGCAATTATAGGCAACCTTACGGCCGTCAACAATAAGAAAATCCTTTACCGCATAGTCGGCTATAAAAGGCTCAGACATGAAAAATATGAAAAACATCAATTGAGAAAACTAATGGTATAATTTATAACAAAACAATTTTCAAAAAAACAAATATGACAGACATGAATAAACAACTACCACTGAACTACAGGCTCCTGTTTTTGGACAGGAACATATAAAATGTGGCGGGGTTAAACTAGTTTGCTTGCGCCAAACTCTCCCCCTAACCTGGGAGAGTGGTGTAACAGTACAACATAAGAACAAGTTTACGATATCAAAGGGACATAACAGAACGAGCTTTCTGCACTTAAGTGTCCATAATCATATATCAATAAAATTGATAAAATTACCACTACTTTTGATGGCTTGAATAATTTTAATATTTTTGAAATTTCAGAAGGGCCAAATAATGGCTCTTACCATACTTGCTACTTTACCTTGAATATTGCAACTAATTTCCAATTTGTTTTATCAGTTGATAAATCAATTGTGTTCATGCGACAAATTTTTATTAATCATAACTGTTATTGCCAGGAGCAACAGCAAAACAGGCATTGGATTCTGTTATTTTAGAGAATACATGACTATATCTATGCCAAACTCGTATGGAATGAGGACGCATATTTTATAAACATGAACGATTTAGACAAATGTTAAATGTAATCGAAAAAATATAGTTCGACTTCTTTTTACCTATTGGGTACAACGACAATTATCCCACATTACACCGTATTTAACTCTGTATTCATTACTCTCGATTTGAATAACAGGGTTTTAATTAGAAAATTCCTAGAAACCTGTGTTCATCCTCATTTTGTCTGTGATTCATAGTGTATGTCGCTTAACATCTATAGCCTAAAATTACATTACCGCCTTTAATGAACTTTGGTACACATTAGTATGAACATTTTCTAAAGCAAATTTCGATATAATAATAAAAAATGATTCAAAACAACCGAATCGTATGAGTTAGAAATTCTTAGTATTAAGGACGGGTATTAATTGTTGCTATTTGCTGACCATACAATAACATTCTATAAAGCTATTGTGCGATGTCTAATAACTTTATATAACTTGTCAACGTATTTTATAGGAGTAACACGACGGGTGTCACATGTGGAGCAGGATCTGCTTACCCTCCTGGAGCACCTGAGATCATCCTCTGTTTTTGATGGGGTTTGTGTTGCTCAGTCTTTAATTTTCTATGTTGTGTTTTATGTATTGTTGTTTGTCTGTTTGTCTTTTTTTATTTTCGACTTATGAGTTTGAATGTCCCTTGGTAACTTTCGCCTCTCCTTTACAGATTGTGGTGCATATTGCATCGCGTGACATTTCTTGTAAACCAACTACATCGTTTGAATTATATTAGTTCTTACAGAGGTTTGAATCATTTTCATTCGACTGTATCTCATTTTCTTCAGAAATTTAAAAATATCAAGAAACTTTGTAGTACGCCCTTCATCCAAAAGAGCATCAAGGGCAATGTAAGTTCCTGTTCTTCCAATACCAGCACTGCAATAAAATCGTAACATACCAAAACTTCAGTAGAAGATCAAATACTGCACATTTTTTTTAATATTTCAAACTTGAAGGATAAAATCATTTTAAAGAGCAATGTCAATTTTAATTGGTCAACACTAAGTATTCAGGGGTTGCAAATAAAACATGAATATTTCGCGTTTTTGATAATAATAATTAAGTTAGTAAGTAGTCTTTATCGTATTGAATTATTGTTTATTCTTAATATGCAATAATGACCGTTATAAGTGTTTATGACGGGGAATATGCGGTAGATAACAATAATTCAACTGCATATTATAATTCAGCAAAATATTAATTAATGCAGTTGAACTATTGGTAAGGACTAACAATATATTTCGATACTGCAAAAGTTATTATGTAAAATGAAAAAAAGCAATGTGTATTTGCATGATTTTTGAACTTTCAAAATAACATTTTACCTGCAATGAACCAACAAAGGTCCTGAATGTCCAGCTTTGGTATCAGATATCACATGTCTGTGAAACAATACAAGATACAAAGGATCTGGAGTTCCATGATCTGGCCAAGCTGCGAAATGGTACTGAGTCACTTTACGTTTTTTGCCACTCTAACAAAAAGGTATACAAATGATAACGCGTAATTATAAATTCGCTTTCCCCTTTACAGCATCTGCTTTATATGTTTTGCAGCGACCTTTTCGCAAGACCTGTATGACATGCATTCTATGTTTTATGGGCTGTTAAAACCGTTACCAAAAATATATTTTAAAGCGCTTTATGGTATTTGCTTTTGTCTCAGAGATTTACTGTGCTTATCCCGAAGGCTTTGGTCTATCCCGATACCAATTGTTCAAACAGTTTACCAAATAGCAGTTTGAAGTCATCTCAACAAACTGATCAGCTGGTAAAATATTTGAGCAAATTGCTTTAGTGAAAGGTTAGTAGTATGAAGTGAGTGCAGTGAAATAAAAGTAATGCTTACTATCCAACTTCATTTATTAAATGTCTGTGTAATGAAAGTGAAATAAAATTATCACCTACTATGATATAAGGCACTGGTTTGAAAAGGTTGACTTTGACATGAAAACGGTTATCCTAATATTTTATAAATAATTAGTTCTTACAATTGTTTGATGAGTCAATAACTTATTGTTTGTTTTCTAACAGGAAGTTATTGTGTAATTGTAAGTTGGATAATTTTTTCTATAACAATTACTGATCTGCTGGCATTAAAGGGAAATAACTTTTATTTACTCATTGTAAAAATAAATTATTCAAAGATACCAGGTTGATGATTTTTACGCCACACACAAGTTTTGTCTGCAGAAAACTCATCAGTGAGGCTCGAATAAAAATGAAAATGAAATGCCAAATTAAGTACGAAGTTTAAAAGCATTGAGGAAACAAAATTCTAAAAGGTTTTGCCAAATACTCCTTATAAGAAATCTAATCCTCGGGGTAGAAAATCATTAGTATTTTGAACAGTTCAAATGTTTGCAAAACAGTAACTTTATAATTTTTACCATATGAATGATAATTCATGTCAACACAGAATTGCTAGATTCTCATAATGACATCCACTTCATTATCTTCAGAAGTGTATTTTTCATTATTATATAATATTTCCAAATTAAAAATGTTTTTTTTTTCTGTTAGAACTATGACACAACGACTTATTTGTTAATATATCATTTGAATAAATCAAGGGAAAGCGTATTTGTTATCTGTCATTTAAATATGAATCATTGTATGATTATCTTTTAAACCAACACAATCGTGACCAATCATGTTCTACATCTTTGATAAAAGCCATACTTGGTTTGACCGTCTAATGTATAGCCCATTCACTTGGACTGTTATAACATTGCTATTGTTTAATAACTTTCACGCTAACAATTAATAACTGTAACAATATATGTTTTAGTCTTTAACTAAACAATGCGATTCGTTAATTTTCATAAGAAACGGAAAAGCACAATTGAACGTTTTCTCTGAACTATTTTAACAGGAGCATGCATGTTGTAAAAAAGAAATTCGACCTCCCAATATATTCGAAATATCTATTATCATTATCTAATTCATCAATTTCATCAATTTCATGATCATGTACTTGTCGTTTTTGTTTTGTTTGATTATTTTCAAATGTTCAGATTACCATAAAGTTTAATATATTTCTACCTTTGGTATTTTCCGTCTCTTAAATATTTTTTATGAATTTTGGGTTCTCAATGCTCTTTGTTTTTTATTTGGCCTTTTTAACTTTTTTGATTCGGACGTCCCTGATGAGGCCTTTGTAGAAGAAACGCGCGTCTGCAGTACATAATTTTAATCCTGGTATCTATGATGAGTTTATTTGACTTAACCTATGAGATTGCCTAATGTTACCTCCTTGATTATATAGGTAATTATGTATTATAGATACAATGAATAAGCGTTGATTCTTGAAAAAGAAACCATGAGCCCGGAGGGCGAATGGTTTGTTTTTCATAAATCAACGCTTATCCATTGTATCTCTAACTTAAACTATTGTTTTGATGTCTTTTCAAAATGAAAGCCTTTTCTTAATTAGAAGGTATTGTGAGTTAGTTGAAATGACCATGTTATCATGTTCAACGATGCATTAATAAATCTAAGTTCACAATTCATAGGTTAGAGCAATACAAATATAACATAACTTCATAACTTCATAAAATATCAGGCATCTGGAAATCATCCGTAATTTACAAAATAAGACATATTCGAACTTATTTCTAGGTATATGTAATAAGTAAGCTACCGAAAATTCTATCAAGATGCCTATTGTAGGCACATCACGATTTACTCTTATACCAAGTCAGGAAAATGGCCATTGTTATATTATAGTTCGTTTCTGTGTGTGTTGCATTTTAGTGTTGTGTTTCTGTTGTGTCGTTTTTTCTCCTCTTATATTTGATGTGTTTCCCTCAGTTTTAGTTTGTTACCCGGATTTTTTTTCTCAATCGATTTATGAATTTAGAATAGCGGTATACTACTGTTGCCTTTATAAGGATTTGCAAATAAACATTTGTAAAGGTATATAGTAAAACAGATGAAAGCATGCTATATTTATAAAACTAAAATGGACAAATTGAATGTAATAAATTTTTTTTCGAATATGTGAAATAGCCAATAATAACTCCAAAATAAACGGAAAACCTTGCTATTATTACAAAAATATCCACAATAACATACAAAATAAGAAAAACGGAGAAACTAAAGAATAGGGACAACAGAGAGAATGCATGGATTCGAACTTAAACCGACAAGTCTCTACCTTTAACTTGACTCTTTAACTCATTGATCTTAACCATGTGAACCTCGCGGCTACCAACTTATACCATACGATTGTCTATTATGTATACATAAAGGTACAAGCCCTGTGTGTCCGTTGTACCGATGTGTATCATATGTTCACTTACACATGTCAAAAACAAGAAGATCAAAGAAGCCAGATCATTTAACTCACATTCAGATATATTGATGGTGTTCTTTTTATTAACAATCCAAACTTTTCTGATTGGGTTCCATAATATATCCCCCAGAACTAGAAATTAAAGAAACGACAGATACGGCTTCCTCCGCCTCATATTTAGACTTATACCTGGAATTTGACATAAGCGGTCATCTCAATACCAAATTCTATGACAAACGAGACGATTTTAGTTTTGAAATTATCAATTTCCCCCACCTTAGTAGCAATATACCAACCTCACCTGCATATGGGATATACATTTCCCAGCTCATTCGGTATTCAAGAGCTTGCAGCTGCTACTCAGACTTTATAAAACGTCACAAGTGTCTGAGCAGACAGTTGATGAACCAAGGCTATGTTAAAGAACGTTTCGTCCTTTTTCTAAAAAGGTTCATCGGAAGATACCAAGACCTTGTTGATAAATATTCTGAATGAACTTCACAAATAATACACGATGGTCTTGAAGTATAGATTCTAGGTACTGACGTTGTTTATCATCTTAATTAAGTGTTATAGTGTTCATTTTTTGTCTTTGTAAATTATTAACCTTTATTGTTTAGTTAATTTTTGGTACTATCCTTTTGGCGTGACTCGGTACTTATGCATCCCGACAATGTGTTGTTGTGCTGTGGTCATTTTTTGTATTCTTGTCCTTCATTTTTACTTATTTGCTTTGTCTATATGCCATTTTCTTTTTCTCTGTCGACATATTTGTTTGTTTTTATAGTGATTAAGATTATAACACAATGTTGACTGCTGTACCGCTATTTTTGACATTTTTACCTAGTGTTTTGTTAACACATAGTTGTCAATATAATTGGAATTTTATGCGACTGTCATTCAAGTGAGAGGTTTAGCTAGCTATAAAACCAGGTTTAATCCACCATTTTCTACATAAGGAAATGCCTGTACCAAGTCAGGAATATGACAGTTGTTTTCCATTCGTTTGATGTGTTTGAGTTTTTGATTTTGCCATTTGATAAGGAATTTTCCGATTTGAATTTTCCTTGGAGTTCGGTATTTTTGTTATTTTACTTTTTATCTAAATATACTGCTGCAATTTACTCAAAGGGACTTAATTTTAATAAATCAAATATTAACAGCAATTACCTTTCTTTTCTAGATTTAGATATTTCAGTTTTACACGAGAAACTCTACACATAAATTTACGACAAAATTGACGATGTTTCTTTCCCTTTTGGTTATTTCATTTTATGGACGCTGATGTTCCTTTAGCACCGCCTTACGGTGTTTATATATCCCAACTCGTTACAGCCTGTGTCTAAAGTGACGTTTTGAAATTAGCGTAATCTATGTATTACTGGAAAATTATTAGGTCAGGGATTTTGTTACCACAAATTACTGAAAACTTTTACTAAATTCTTCCATATGTACAAAGATTTGGTTTGGAAGTATGGCTGTACCTGTAGAAAATGCCTGTACCAAGTCAGGAATATGACAGTTGTTTTCCGTTCGTTTGATGTGTTTGAGCTTTTGATTTTGCTATTTGATAAAAGAGGGACGAAAGATACCAGAGGGACAGTCAAACTCACAGATCGAAAACAAACCGACAACGTCATGGCCAAAAATAAAAAGACTAACAGACAAATAATAGTACAGATGACACAACATAGAAAACAAAAGACTAAGCAACACGAACCCCACCAAAAACTGGGGGTGATCTCAGGTGCTCCGGAAGGGTAAGCAGATCCTGCTCCACATGCGGCACCCGTCGAGTTGCTTATGTTATTACAAATCCGGTAAATAGTCTAATTCGGTAAGTCACATTCGTGAAAAGGGAAGGGTATTGTAGTTACGACATAAGGAACATATCCGATATCATCTGTGAAACGGTTATTCCATAACGGTCAACCAACTCGTGATGGCGTCCGTAAAATTTACGAAGGGATGACTTCAACTTCACCATTTGGAACTCTTGGTTTAATAACTTCCTTGTGAGCAGCAATCCTCTATCAAGGAAATCATGATAGGAAACACAAGCCCGGGAATATCGTATCAATTGGGAGATATATACTCCGTATGCAGGCGCTGCTGGAATGTTGCTACATAGAAATGGAAAGTTCACAATTGGGAAGCTGAAATCATCTCTTTTGTCGTAAAGTTTTGTTTTCAACCGACCCTCATTGTCAATTTCTAGATGTAAGTCAAGATATGAGGCAGACTTAACTGTATCTGTAGTATCCTTTATCTCTAGTTCGATGGGATAGATTCGTTCAACATAGTCACCAAATTTTGTATTATTTAGTGAGAGAACATCATCTATATAGCGGAACGTAGAGTTAAAGGATATTGCTAACTTCTTATCTCTCTTCCTAAGAAGCTCCTGTATGAAGTCAGCCTCATAATAATAAAGAAACAAGTCGGCAAGACTGGTTCCCATTGGAATTCCGACAGTCTGTTGAAAAACACGTCCTCCAAACGTAACAAATATGTTGTCAATCAAGAAATCAAGCATCTTGATAATGTCAGTTTCAGAGAATTTTTTGTTAAGGGACTTTCCGATTTTAATTTTCCTTGGAGTTCGGTATTTCTGTTAGTTTACTTTTTTTTATATATATAAAGAATACACATAGATTGCAACTCATTGGTAGCCGAGAGGTTTCGTCGATGTGTTGATGTCAGTCACACATAACATATTTCAAGGAGGGGTTCTTTTCCCAGTGAAGGCATATAAAGATTACAAAAAATAAAGGCAAGCTTTTCAATTAATTCCATTTGTGAACTGAAATCAATAAACTAGCCAATTCAAACTTAATGAAATCAGGCACACAAAGGAAACAATTGAATATAATTTGGTGAGTCCATTTAAGTGACAGATTTAGGAGGCGTTGATTCTAAAAGAATCCACGATAAATGAATAGGCTAACGTCAAGACAATGGTTTAAATTATTTGCTAATAGCCTTCAGTTCAAGTATCTATTATATTTACTTTTTGGCCAGGCTGACCCAAGATAACCATAATGCCTTAATGCCAATTTATTTATAATATCCAGTAGAATACCTTTTTTTCTTCAATTGTTATTTCTCTTGTGACATATGCCGTTCTTTTCTTTTCAACGTTCAGACGAAGAATCAGATTTCCTTGGACCATTTGTTTGTCCCCAGCAGGCCAGTATTGTTCACATTTATTCTATCACGTGGAAGAAGTGTTGAAACATAAGGTAATATCATGAATTTATTATGTATATCTAAACAGACAATGAGCAATTAATGTATATTTTCTATAGTCATTTACTATTCTGTTATATATTCTACATAGTTTGCTACATTTTGGTGATGTTAAGAGTTAATTTTGCCTTCCAGACCGAGTTAGATTCTCTTTCAGATCTTAGATTTGGGGAAATTAGTATGCTGATGTTGTTTTTTTAAATATCACAAGTCCAGAAATACAGATGAACAATTGGTAGTAAAACCAATCGAAATCAAACGAACTCATAGTTCATTACATGAAATATCATTCATTTCTTACAGTAAATAGACTCGAATAATTCAAGCCATCCTCGTATTCGATCCGTTCTATTTGTAAGAAAAGCAGTCATCGTGCAATATCGACTGATTATTATTCAGGTTAACCGAAAATGTTAATTTTATTAATAGCAAATACATATGAGAGATAATTTTTTTCGGTAAAAAACATAATTTTTTTATTTTCAAATATCACTGCACCAGATGTATTTGTTTTTTGTTTTTCTATAATTGGATTGCTGTCTATGTGACATTTATTACATCTTCTTTTCCCAAATGTAACAATATATAAAAAGGAATAACAGTAATCGCGAGGAATAACTCCCAGTACAATAGATCACATCGACCACCAAAACTCGACTCAGCCGAGAGAGAACCAGACAGACAATCATGAACAAACCACAACGAATAACACATGGTCAGCATCCCCTGACTTGGAACAGCCACAACATTTGGTGGAGTTAAACCAGTTTTACTAGTACACAAACTTCCCCTTTGCCTATATACACTACATATTGTTCAACTAAAACACACACATAAAATACATGCACAGTACAGTTATTTCCTTCAGGACGCTAGTTAATGTTACTACAGCTGTTGGTCGGATACTGCCGCTCAAGAAAACATAAAAAAAAAACAACACTTCTTACAGGTTTTAGTTTTATCAATTCCATGACAATAAGATGTACTGTGAGAAATACTAATCTTTAACCAGATAGAATCTATTTATAGACAATATGCTTATTCCGGCTGTAAGAATGTTGAAAGTTGAAAGTCTGAGATATCTATGACCCTGTAAAAGTAACTTTTGTGTTAATGCAAGGTAAAATCTGACATTTTCTGAATGAATATAGAAGAATGGCAATTTTGTTTTTGATACTAACTTCATCAACAAGAATATCAAGCGAGTCAGCGAGGGCAAACTGATATTCGAGCTGGTGAAGTCAGAATCAAAAAAATAAATGCCATTATTTTTGATTGGCAATTTGTCTTAACATAATGGTTTTTTTGGTTGAGAAAATTAAATATAATATAATAGTTATTACAACTATTTTTACGCGTACAAAACATTGTGATAGTTGTTGGGTTGCATGAATGAAGTCGCGTGTATTTCATGGACATGAACACGTGACGCTGTTGCACTATTACGTGCCGTCATTGCCTAATATAATCGAGTATCAGGTCCTGGTCATAATTGGCAGAAGAGGGAATGTACAAATTGCAAATAAAAATAGAATAACGGCATTTTTGTTTTTTGACTCTGACTTTATCAGCAGGAATATGAAGCGAGACCGCAAGGGCGAGCTGATATTCGAGCTAATGAAGTCAGTATCAACACATTAAATGTCAACATTCTTTTTATCGGCAGATTGTCTTAACTGTTTGTTTGTTTTTGGTGGAGAATATAAAGTAAAATGAAAACGTAAGTTAAACTACTTTTACGCGTACAAAACGTTTGGATGGTCGTTCGGTTGTATGAAGGAAGTCGCTTGCATTTCATTGATAAATTGACGCGGATGGTCTAGAGCACGTGACGTTGCTGCACTTATACATGACGTCCTGGCCTCATATTTTCGAGTATCAATCCTGTCCATGATCTTGCAAATATTAGTCAGTAAGATCAAATGGAAAATGCACAAATTGCCGATAAAAGAATATATAGGGTAAACGTCATTTAGACAGAACCTCAACGATACACAAGTAATAAAGATAGCATAAAGAGATCAAAATAAAGTCTTCAACAATAGTTAATTTCCATAATTGCTTACATCCACTTTATTTGAACTTTGGTGGATAGTTGTCTCATTGGCAATTTTTATTTTGTACAACATGACAACCTATCGATCGCCTAAAAAGTCTAAAATGTTATCAATAAATTAAAAAGAGAAAAAAGATCTGCCATTTACTTTCACTTTTTATCTCGCGATTATGTTTATACGAATTTGCTGAAAATATCAAATAATGAAGTTTTATTTGAAGTATTTTTCAAAAATTTTAAATTACAAAACAATTTATAATATGGTTTGAATAATGCTAGCATATATACTCAAGACACGTTTGATCATTTGCATTTTTGTATAGTTTAACAATATATTCTGTCATAAAACTATAAACAATGTACCTTAATACCGTCTACCAAATTTGTTAACATTACAATTTGATAAATATTTTCCTGCCATATCATTTTCCAGTGATCCCCCACTGTAGTTTTGATCGGACCTGCAAATGAGACATATTTTCATTTTTCATTTTTTCAATATAATTATGTTGTGAAGTGTTTAATAATGTACACTGTTCAATAACACGATAAATTAATTTCTTCAACAATAATTTTGGCCATTGAGACGTTACTACTACGTAGATAAAAAATTACATTGACTAGGATTGATTGAACATTTTGGTATCAACGAACCCTTCTACTTCCAACCAAAGAATTTTCAATAATCTCATCCAAACCTCCAACAGTCAACACTTTAGGTCTACATGATTCGAGAATTTGATCAAATACAATTCAATGTTTTTCTTATACACTCATTTGAACTTTGGTGACTATAGTTGTCTCACTTGGCAATCATACAACATCTCCTTATTTTTATATAAAGTTATCTTGAAACTGATACTTTTTATAATATTTTGTGTTATTTACTTTTTGATTTGTTTGTTTTTCAATTTGACCATAATTATCTTAAATGTGTTTATTTTTTATTTTGTTTGTTTCGTTCAATTTAACTTACTTAATTGTTTGTATGTGGGGATAAATGATAAGTTGAATTGTATAGTTTAATTGATATTGTAAGAACCACCATTAACGTTCTACAACAATAACTGTTTACCTTGACACGCAATGTAGCATCTTTCCTTTTCAAACCCCTATAGAATATAATTAAAGTATCTATCATTTAAGTACTTATAAAGATTTCAAAATGTAAGAAAACATTAAACAGACATTAATAAAGTAAATGATGAACCGATTTCTATTGAATTCATCAAGCTTATTTTATCTACAAAATATACGTGACTCTTTTGTCTTGAAAATAAAAGAACTAACACATTTTTTTACCGTTAAAAATATGTCAAACTCTACTTACATCAATATAGTTTGCATTAATATAATCAGATCCTCCACCGGATTGTAATATCACTCTTGTGTGGTCATCTACAAGAGGCAATGTTTGTATCAATTATAAATTAAACAAAATGTACTATCTACTATAATACAAAAATTGTTCTCTAATTTAATCTATATCTTAATTCTTCTGAAATATAAACCTATTAGTATCAATCTATGAGTTTGACTGTCCCTCTGGTATCTTTCGTCCCTCTTTTACACATGAAGTACACCAAGTCCGACTTTATTTTACTTGTCAAGAGCAAGTACTATTTACCAACTAGAAGTACCTTACTGTGTATGATAAACACACAAATTTTAACAACCTTTTATTTAATATCGGAGAAAAGGACACAAGAAGACTAAACGTATGTAAGAAAACGTTTGGTTTGTTTATTTGGTATGTTTAAAAGCAGGTCATTTCCTCTAGAAACATTGAAGAAATAATTAAGAGACCAAAAATAAAAATGACTTCTAAACCAAAAAGACGTTTCTGATAAGTATAAAGTAACAATTTGACAATGATTTAAAGATTAAAACAGAATCTGGAAAGTTTGTTTGAAAAATAAATAAACAACAGCGCCTTGAATGGCATGATACGCATGACTTCACATTTACATTAATTTAAATGAATTAAAGTGTAAGCTCGTCAGTTTTTGTCAGACGAACTCGAAATTGTCAAATACTAAGTCTTTATATCACCGGCAAAAAGTAAAATCGTCAAAAATATAAAATGGCTAGTAGTAGATGTGGAGTACAAGTCATTGAGATAACAACCCAGTGATACTATCAACCAAAAGATATATAGAGGAGTTTGTCTTGAAAATTGTGAGCGATATCTAAGCAAACTTGAAATATGTCGGGTAGAGACAGACGAAAGAAGAATGGTCAAGGGTATAACATAACAGATGTGTCTGTTAAGAACTAGAGAAGGCATCACTATCTCGTAAGATGCAAATCAATGTGCTGTACTATATGTTAGTAGCTGTTGTGTCTGACTATGTACGTAATAGAATTATTACATTATATTTGAAAGTAAATAAAATCAGAGAGCTTGTTTTATCAGAAATAGTCAAATTATGATTCTTTAAATTCAGGATTTTTCCGATGACCAAATAAAAAAGTAATACTACTTTCATATTTTGTCCAGGACAACCTAAACATGGATATTGTGTTGAATTGGAAGTTGTGTATAAAACTATCTGACAGTTTGTAGGATACTTACAACATAACCTTGACAAACATAATGAGTTTTGTAAATGCTTAGTATCCTTTAGTAGTACATAAACATAAGCACCAGTTCAACCTAAACAAAAGGAGATTATGTGCATTCAGAAATATCTGTTTCACTTACATGGTAATGTTGTTTTAAATCTGTTTTTCGGCATATTACCCTTTGACAGTGCATGTGTAGTAGGATGTTCTGCTACGTTCGGTATGCTCTTATGAAATATAAATAAGAAATGTCAAAGTGAATAAAACAAATTAATAAAGCTATGTTACTTTACTATATTTACTTTACACTTATAATACGAATAGGAAACCAAGATTTACCAAACACAGGTGAACATAGGTTGAAAGAAAAAAAGGAACTCATGATGAGTTAATATTAACATAAAAGGGATTTGAGGTACCCGTCAACGAAAAAGGAACCGAACGACACAATTATTAGTAACCGAAAGACATAAAGAGGTCAACACACACTCTTCACCACACACTGGTGCCTATCCAAAATACAAAGCTCTGGATCACCAAAGTAAAAGAAGATGTGCAGAAAAAAAAGCGACGACCAAACGCTCTTTTCATATCAAACCGTTTCTTATTTGAATAAAAAATGATGTCAGATGTAGGTCAATACGAAAGCGACCCAGCGACAAGAATAACCAGACGACATCTAAATTTTATTATACTTTTCTACTGAAGCGTATTATGAACGTGTGAGTTTGTGAATTAATTGAACCCTATATCAGGGATCTGTTACGGTATTACATACATGTAAGACAGAACTCACGTATTCATTATTTTGAATTTCCATACCAACATGCGGAGGTGTTAAATTAGTTTTGTTAATTGTTACAGATTTCAACACTAATATTTTTAATCGCCATCAGTGAACTAACAAAAGAAATTAATTCTATAAAAATCGTAATAGGTACCAATAATACTATCACAAACAGAACAATAATACACACTTCGTATCAAAGAATGCTGGAATTAACTTAAATCAACTCAAAGTAATAACTCCCCTGATATGAAATGATATCACGCATGAGGAACATGTGTACTAAGTTTCAGGTTGATACGACAGCACCTTCATAGTAAAATACCCTAACCAAAAAATTTAACATAATACGGAACGGACAAACATACAAGACAACATACTGCCCTTTACTATCGTAAGCAGGGGTACAGTTGTTATGTTAAACAACGACAGCGTTATCATTTTCGAATTAACATTGGATACAAATACAAAATGCTCTCCGAGAGTTACCTGAAAAAGGGGTAGAAGATACCAAAGGATCAATCAACATTCAATTCACAAGTCAAAGCAAAACCAACAATGATAAGGCAAAAACTAAAATCGGCGAAAAGACAAACAACAGTTTACAAAACACTACTGATTTTTAAATAGCTTTCTCTCTTTTGCACCAAGATTAGCAGTAGTAAGAAATGCAGGTGGCTTTTCGATATCATCCCAGTTAATTTCAGACGGAGAACGATGTTTGTTCCTTCTTTAGAAATTTCTCGGTCTTTGCCAATGTAAACGTCTACTTTAACATACAATGTGAATTATTATATCTAAACTATAAATTTTTCCAGGAATTTTGTTTCTAATATTAACGACGGCAGTAAAAATGTTGAATTAAGTTTATTTGATAAGAAAATTGTAATGTAAATATTTTCAAATCATCTTTAAACACATCACTTCAAAATTATAAAATACCTTATATTCGTCTTCAAGTTCTCCGTGTCTTTGTCTTTTCTGAATATACTTTTTTAGGTCTTCCACCCTGATACATGTACGAGTTACATCTGATACATTATGACATTCGACATCAGCTGTTACTACGGGTTTAGTGAATAATTCATCGCCATTAGCAGCGATAGAAGACATCGTCCTTAAATTTAAATGCAGTCCATCTCCACTGTCATCTCGTCCTTAAATTGATTGTATTGAAATATTCATCTTATTTTAAACTGACTGCAAGAACATTGTATTGTAGGAAATACGCAAAATTGATGCATCGTGCAATGTAACTAAAATAATCGCACTTCATCACGATCACTTCATTGTTTAGCAAGTTATCAGAAAGGATGGTAATGAATATAAATGTGCACGAAAACATTATGGTTAAACCCCAGAATTATTAACTGTTACATTATCTTCATATTCCTACCATTGATATATATTGGCATTGACGGTAAAACATACACTACATTTGGCTTGTCAGCAAATACCAATTTTAGAATCTTTGGTTTGAACGGGTCTGGTTTTGAACCCTCACCTCCAGCACTCGAGGCAAACACGCTACCACGAGCCTACCGAGGTAATTTTGCACAATGACAACAAATACATATTTATGATGGGCATGAATCGTTGCCTTTTTTGTCTTTCTTGGTAAGTTTTTATTCCTTGCAAATTTCATTACATATTTAAGTGATATGTAAATACTTTGAGTTTTTAGTTGAAAGAGGATCCTCCCGAACACCCTATTGTTGGCCTTTTTGTGTAAAGTTTTGGCCCAAAGGAGTCTGCAACGCTCATCTGGTTTATTTGCATTAAACTAATACAATGCATGAAGAATATGTGTGTTGAATGGAAACTGTGAAGGTCAACCTCTTGTCCTGCTGATCATTTTGCTAGACAGATTTTCTGTCTATCCATTATAGTTTTCAAGACAATTAGCAAAATTTAAAACAGAAATTATTTAAAATTTTAGAACAGGGGCAATAACTCTTGTAAGGTGGTGATTGCCGGTTTCATTAATTTGAATTACATCATGTGTTTACAATCAATGTTGTTGTTCAAAGTTTAATCTATCAATAATATATAGTTCTCAATGCGTTTGGTAAACACCCTAAAATTGATTTAAAACTCCTGAGGACTTGTATACTTTTAGATCGTATTTTGTTGATCAGTTTTGCCGTTTTACAGTTTGTCTCAATCTCCTTTATAAAAAAAGAGATGTGTTATAAATGCCAATGAGACAACCATCTTCCAGAGTTCAAATGAGTGGAAGTAAGAAATTATGGGTCACCGTACGACCTTTAACGATAAAAATTCATAGTCACCTATAAATGACCACGACAAGACAAATATGAAACAATTCAAACGTGAAAAGGAACGGCCTTATTTATAACAATTGAATTTTCGTAAAACAAATTTGGCAGACATGAACCAACGACAACCACTGAATTACGGGCTCCTGACATAGAACAGGCACTCAAAGAAGAGTGTTCCACACCCTCCATAACCTAGGACAGTGTTCCAGCACAACATAAGTACAAACTGTAAAAATCAGTTCCAAACGGCTCAACTCAATTGATCAGTAAAGGTGAATTTACACAGTAAAATGTTTTCCATTCGATTTTCAATCGCAATTGATACCATCTCTTAGGTACATCGAACATCGTTCTGTTCACATGATATGATTTTCCATTCGATTAACCAAACGACATACGATTTTAGTTTACACACGGTACGATTTAAGTCGAAAGCAGGTGCACAGGTAAAATTCGAATGAAAACTTACCGTGTAAACGCACCTTAAGAAGCTCAAAAAACAAATTACATAAAATCAATTGACACGAAGCACCGATATAAGGGAACTCTCAGTTACTAAATATAAAAATTAGGAGATGTGCTAGGATTGTCAATGAGACAACAATCCACTGAAAGCTATTTCAAAGCCAATTACAACTTATAAAAAATAAGGTTCTCCCGCTTGTTATCAAAATAAGAAGATGCGATATAATTTCCAATGAGACAACTCTCCACCAGAGACCAGATGACGCAGAAAATTAACAACTATAGGTCACCGTACGGCCTTCATCAACGAGCAAAATCCATATCACATAGAAAGCTACAAAAAGTGACAAATGTAAAACAATCCAAACGAGAAAACTAACGGCATGATCTATACTCATCACAATAAACGAAAAACAAATACAATATACAGTAACACACGACGACCACTGAATTACAGGCTCCAGACAGTTCCAAAAAAACGAAAAATATGTAAAAATCATTATCAAACGGAAATGATTCCAATAAGGTGTTGACTGACAATTATGGTTATGATGACTTGTTAGTATATCTTGTTTTACAGTTTTACTGTTTAAGGTGTCTCTCTGTTCATTGTAGTTTTCAAGAGTGCATTTGTAAAAGCAAAAACATTGATAAAATGGACAATTAGGGGGCAATTACTCCTTTAAGGAGAAGATTGACGATTTCGGTTTCACCTGCTAATTTGTAGATCTACGTTTGTTGGTCGTTTTTATTTATTCAGTTTCTCTCTATCTATAAACGTTTAAAAAAAACCCACAAAAATTAGTTAAAATCATCACTGAAAGACAATAACTCGAACGAAGATTAGACTAAATGATATCGGCGATGTTGACTATTAGTAAATCTTAATTTCCAGATTTTGTTTGATTTATACGGGTTTTGTTTATGAAAAAAATGTAAAAAAGATAAAAATCGTCATTTAAGAACTGTAACTCTTGTAAGAAGTTTAATGACGATTTAGGTGCTGTTGACTATTTGTAGAACTTATAAATATAATAATGATTTCAGCTATTTCCAGTTTCTTTCTAGCTGCTCTAGTTTCTGCAAAAAAAAAAAACCTTTAAGGGCGACAACTCTAATATTGAATCGACTGGCGATATACGACGATCTCGTTCAGTTTGACTATTTGTAGATCATATTTTGCTGAATATTTTACCGATTTACAAGTTCCTCTTTCTTTTCAAATTTTCTAAAAAACATACAATAAAAAAATCATTTTTAAAAGATAATAACTCTTATAAGGAGTCGGCTAACGAATGATACCATTTAGATTATTTGTAGACCTTGTTATGACTATCATTTTTTCTATTTATATAGGGCAATAACTTCACTTCGAAGTCGTCAGAATTTTGGTCATATTTGGTGAATAGGGGGATATTGACTAAATGCACATTTCTGCGTCTTAAAAATTCTCTATCTTTACAGATTATCATACTAATAAACAATATTTCAATGTTATCCCTATGTTTTACTTTAAGCCTTGGCAGCTATGTTAGTTAGTAGATGAAATCACAAGTCACTTTTGTTTAAGACCTGAAACCCTAATGGATGAATATGGTAATGGGCAATTTTTTATTAAAAAAAAAAAAAAAAAAACAACGGACGCATAGTGCTAACAATGGCCTCTTGGAATTCAAAGTTTCATATATTTAAATAAGCCTTCAAGTTTAAATGATTGCCTGGTAAAACAATGTTTTTACTCTTTTAAGTTGTGGGTTTCGATTAAATGTTTTCTGTCGAACTGAAAAAATGACATTCAATCTTATTACCTTGATGCATTGTAACTGTGTCTCTATTTCTTTTTCTTGTACCAAATTTAGGTTTTCTGTTCTTTACATATGATGAAAGTCTGTGAAATCAAAATAATTTGTTTAAAATGATATTAAGTATCCAAAAGATACTCAGTGATTTTAGAATGGGGTTTATCTTATTTGGTCTCTGGAGGAATATTGTCTTATTGGCAATCATACCCCTCTTTCTTACTTTTATATGCATTTTGATTGTAATAGTTATTAAATATAACTCCCACAAGAAAAAAAAAACATCAATTTGTGCTTAACTGTTTGTGATTTTTTGGTTTTGATGCACAAACATATTTTATACATTACCCTCTACGACTTTTGGTATCGAGTTTACCTGGTAAATTAGTTAGTCCGGAAACCATGTCGTGTGCACTGAAATCGATAAATTATACATGTTTTACACATTGATTTACCCTATCATTACACGATACAAACCTCCGCCTCCAGATAAAAACGGCAATGCCAGCAATGATAACAACAATGGCTACAACACCTCCAGTTACTGCCCCTGCTGAGGAAGTCAGTTTTTCTGGCTCTGAATCATAGTAAGATTAACATGGTTTAAGTCTCAATATTTACACAGATTTGACACTTTTTTGTAAATTACAAAGAGTCCTAGTCTGGTATTGTCTGAGAGGGCGACTCACTAGATTTATGGAATATAAAGCTGTGAATACAATTAATACTGAGTGTTGTGATCAATGTAAAGTTTTGAGATCTGACACCGTGGAAAATAGTAGACCAGATATTGACTAAGAGCAAAGAGCAAAGAGCAAAGAAAAAAAGCACACCTCGTACATTGAGGTTTTTCCCTATGTGAATTGGCGTATAGCAAAATATGTTTTTAAACTTTAATAATGGCAATAGTAGTATACCGCTGTTCAAAAGTCATTATTCGATTAAGAGAAAACAAATCCGGGTTACAAACTAAAACCGAAGGAAACACATCAACTCTAAGAGGAAAACAACGGAACAACAGAAACACTGAAGTGCATCAAAAAAAAAAAAGACCAATGCAACATACATAGAAACGAACTATGTGATAACAAATGCCATATTCCTGACTTGGTACAGGACATTTTAAGAAAAAATGGTGGGTTAAACTTGTTAACTTTTTTACATCTTATATAAAATATTGTAGACCACTAGTCCTTCTGTCTGAAAAAAAAGAAGATAGTCTCAACAAATATTATGCGACTGTATCCTGTTTTGATGAAGAGGCTGGGAAAGCATATACCTAATGACGTACTGTTTACCAGTCCAGTTTGAGTGAAATAGTGATGGAACTAAAGCGTTATAAGTTTTTCTTTGCTAGCAAAAGATCATAGATAGAAATTAAGTAATGCAAAGGTCAATATAGCAAGTTTGGTTCTGTTATAAGTGTGAAACTACTAATTCGGATACGGTCAGAAAGAACATACCGGAAGTAGTATATATTTAAAACAAAATAGTTCTTTCGCATGTAGTGCTTTGACATGCAATGAATGTCGCTATATTTTAACATAAGAAATAAAGCGATATTAATGCTCGAAATTGAAGAGTTTTAAAATATAGAACGTAATGGGACAAAGAATTATTAGTGTGCCTCCTTTACCTAAACATGTTATAAACCATAGTTACTGGTGAATCAGATGCTATATATATTACAATCATACTATTGGAGTTTCCTTCCATACGAATGTATCTTTAGGAGAGATTATATATCTTAAAGGCTTTTAAATATCAAAATCATTCGAAACACTTAGGTTTTTCTACCTCTAGGCATAAATGACTTCAACCAAATTTGACACTTTTTGAAATATTAGGTCTTCAATGCTCTTTAACTTCGTTATGGATTTTGCCTTTTACCTGTTTTGACTCGATCACCATTGATTGGTTATATGTAGATGAAACCCGTGTATGGCATTTAAATTATAAGCCATGTATCTTTAATGAGCTCCTTTCAACCTGCTATCCAATCATCTACAGTACACATAATTAAATTGATTAAACCATAATGAAAACTAAGATTTTTCAATTGATGAAACGAGCATTATAACAAGCTAAATACCATACCTCTTATTAGAAGTTGAAGTGGTTTACTGTATCCAGTGCCAATGGAATTGGACACTGAACAAACATAAGTCCCGGAATCACTCTCTGCAGTTTCATAAATAACTAATGCAGGAGATCCAATGGTACTGCCATTATATTTCATCGAACTATACGCAGAAATGTTTACACCATTCCTTATCCAATAAACATTTTTCGGTGTTGGATAAGAGTCATGAGAACAAGGAAGTACTGCATCAACTCCTTTATTAACCTCGAACTTTTTCCTTGTCGTAAACACAAGAGGTATGTCTGAAAGTTTAAGCTGATTATTTCAATGTCAGCAGAATTTAGTAAAATCTAAGCAAAATTGTTATGAGCGTGTCTATTGTATTTGTACAAGAACAAAAGTGTTAAGATATAAATACACACAAAAATAATTAGTTCAATTATATGAAACTGACTACTGCTAGAAATTTCATCACCTCATTAACACTATGGACCATCATACAATCTCCACGTAAAACATGGTTTTGGATTTCTAAAACATTTGATGATGAAGTACGTAAATAAAGTACGATAGCTTATATACTTTTTCCTTTTAAAAATTACAAATAAGTTGATCCTTTTAATATAAAATTAGGACAGGTGGAAAGATTGCCAATGACACAACTATAGTAAACTTCCCACTTAAACCATTACCAAATAAACCATTACACCCCTCCCGTCTCCATTCCCATTTGACTCATACATCATTTGCAGCATTCAATATTGACAAAAGAGTGTAACGTGTTTGAGGGAATTGCAAGCTTCGATATACTTTTTTTTCAGAAACTAACAAAAATTTTAAAAACAATGCACCATTCCTCATACACGATACACTATTCCAAATGCACAAAACAATATTTCACATTGTATCGTACACCTTATACCTTTACACCAATCATCATTCAATGACTGTATTGTGGATATTGTTCGGCGTATTTGTGATTTATCTGTGTAGTATTTAGTGGACTATTTGATCTAGATTTGTGTCTTTTCTTTCGGTTTTGTCCTTACAATTTTGGTCCTCGATTCTCATATGCAATATATATTTATGCTTTTACCTTAGATAAGAACATGCATTGTTCAATGAAAATTATTATAATAATTCTACATATATTTGAAAGTTGAACCCTAAAGTGTTTTACCTTTGACATCAAGCTGTAGTTTGCTGCTCTTTGCAGTCACCGTTTCCAATCTTGTTTCACATGTATAATTTCCTTTATGTAAACGATTTATGTTATTGATTTGCAGTGATAGCTGATTAGCTCCTTCCAGCTTTTTACCATTCTGTCGCCATATTACCCTACTTCCACCAGAAACTTTACATTCTATTGTAACTGAATCATTTGCCGTTTTTGTTAATTTACGGTAACCTTTGTTTCCGTTAATTGTAGCAGCTGGAATTGATATACAAAGTCCAGTTATAAGTAAATAATATGCAAGTGATCACCAATACATACCTCATTGTATAGAACCACTCATTCGGACCCGGCCGGCCAGAAAGAACATTCAAAAGAAAGAAGTACATATTTTAAACAAAAAAGTTCCTACACATAGCTGTAACCTTGCCAATTAGTAAAATGTTTGGGTAAAGTGGGTATCAAATGACTGCTTAAAGGGCCACTATATAAGCACTTTTGAAAATTTCTCTTGAATAATAAAATGAATATATGACATTGAAGTAGAAATGCATATTTGCCAAGCTACGCAGATCAGAAGTACCTGTTTTGTACTACCGAACTTCCGGGAATCATTGCTTTCTAATACGCAAATGAATCAAGTTGATTTTTTCAGCACACGTCAGGATAAGGTATAGTTTTGACTATCACTCTGTTCGAAGTTAAGGGAAAATATATGAATGCTTCCAATTGGAGAATTTAGCATAGAAAACAAAAAACTGTTTTATCCTTATAATACAATAGAAAAATTCAAACTAGAAATGTTGTCTATTAAACATCACTAAAGAGTATAACGTACTCATGAAATAAACTGAATCTGGTAAGACGCCCTTGAAGGGCTATCTTTTCTAAATAGCTTGCCGTTTAAAGCTGATTATATTGAAAATTGTTTTAACCTCTGCAGTTTCAACCATTTAGAATAATCATTTGTATATAAAATATATTTGACTTACAAAACCTGGACAAGAGAAAAGCTAATACAATGTAGAGGTGAACATTACATTTTAAGGGGTTTACATAAACACTGGAAAGGGGTTACAAGTAATTTTCAATCACCTTGGTGTTTACTTCTTCCTTATTTCTACGAAGACTTGAAGATTTTCTGGTTTATGTATGGATCAATAGTTTTTAGCAAACATTTTATTTATTTACTTTTAGTCGTTTGTTTGTATGAGTGTGATAAAAAAATATCATCATTTAATGTTCTATCTTATTCATTCATAGAGTCTATACCGGAAAACTGGGGGAGTGTGAGTATAGTTGCCTTCATTTCGTTTTTAAGAAACAAAACTAGATCAAACACGCCATAATGATATTAATATGTATACATGTTTCTGTGCATTTCAATGTCAAGAAGTTTTTCGGTGATTTTCCTTTGTTATATTTTAATCTTGGCAGGTGTGGTGTTGATGATTTAACTGTGATAGTCACGATAAATTAATTCAGAAAAGTATTAATACTCAGGGAAAATGTAATAATATATTATATCGACTCATGTCTTTTTTTGTGGAAAACCTAATGTTGACTTCTAGATAACGTTGGATTGCTGTCTTATTTAAAACCTATACACTTATGATGATTGTTTTGCAAAACAATTTTACCCTACCAAACTCGATACAGATGATGACATCGTCACATGAATTGAATTAAGTAATTAATGATAATGACGTACAGTTGGAAATTGTTGGAGTAAAAGAATAAATCCCTGACAGTGTGTCGTATAGCATAATAAATAATCCTCTTATATGATGACTTTTCAAGGTCATATGTGACTTTGTCTTCCAACATAATCCAAAAGATTCCATGCCTTTATCATCTATCAAGACGAAGATATAGCAAAGGTTAATTTTAGGACGTCAAATTAACTTTGACCTTTTGACGATATATAATACGGTTACGCTGTATTGTGATTTTTGCAAGATGTCGATTAGATATTTGCATATGATGTCAAACAGTTATTTTGCTTTTGAAGCTCACCCTATTTAACTGCATACTTTTTTTGAAAGAATAATCTTCCCGAACACAGTTTTCTTCTTGTCGCCATTCCTTTGTAATCGTAAAAGAAACCGACATTTTTTTCCCAAATTGCCCTTTATATCCTCGGTTTGTTGAGAATAATTTTGACCGAAATGATCTTGGAACTCTATATGGAGTTTTTAAAATTAGGTCTTTTCTAGACTATTACGAGACATTTTTTTAGAGCAAAGTTAATATGCAAGAGAGATAAGTAACTAGAGGCTCTCAAGAGCCTGTGTCGCTCACCTGATTTTACTTTGGTTTTGGAAATCATGTAAAAATACATTAAAATCATAACAGATACCCTAATAATGATTGAGGCCAAATGTGGTTTAATATTGGCCCCAGAACTTAATCAAAAGCAGAAGACTTTTGTAAAGTTTACAGAAAATACCAATAAATTTATTGAAATTGTAGAAAATGACTTAATAAGGACAATAACTCCAACAAGATGTCAATTGACAATTTTGCTCATGTTGACTTATGTGTAGATCTTCTTTTCTTGATATTTTTGCAGTTTACAGTAAATCTCAATCTATAAAGATACATGTATTAAGGTCTTCATCAGCACCTCATACGAAACATTTATGCCATGTTTGGTTTCAATCCATTCAGTGCTCCTCTAGAAGAAGCATTTGTATGTATTTCCCATAGGGTCTTATGTTAAACTAAGTCCCCTCCTGGCGCCCATCTTGGATGATGGTTCGGCTACAAAGTAACAACACTAGGTCAGCACCTCATTAGGAACATTCATGCCATGTTTGGTTTCATTCCATTCAGTGGTTCTCTAAAAGAAAACATTTGTATGTATTTCCCAAAGGGTCCTATGTTAAACTTACCCTAGCTGCTGGCAGCCATCGTGGATGACAAATCAGCCACACAGTAACAAAACTTGCTCAGCACCTCAAAAGAAACATTCATACCATGTTTGGTTTCAATCCATTTAGCCGTTTTCTAGAAGAAGACATTTGTATATATTTCCCATAGGGTCCTTTGTTAAACTAAGTCCCCCGTTAGCAGCCATCTTGGTTGATTGATTAGCTTCAAAGTAACAACACTTGGCCAGCACCTCATTAGGAACATTCATGCCATGTTTGGTTTCATTCCATTCAGTGGTTCTCTAAATGAAGACATTTGTATGTATTGCCCATATGGTCCTATGTTAAACTAAGTCCCCCGCTGGCGGCCATCGTGGATGATGGATCACCTACAAAGTTACAACAGTTGGTCAGCACCTAATAAGAATAATTCATGCCGTGTTTTATTTTAATCCATTCAGTGGTTCTCTAAAAGAAGACTTTTGTATGTATTTCCCATAGGGTCCTATGTTAAACTAAGTCCCTTTCTGGTGGGCATCTTGGATGATGGATCGGCTTCAAAGAAACAACACTTGGTCAGCACCTCATAAGGAACATTCATGCCAAGTTTGGTTTTATTCCATTCAATGGTTCTCTAAAAGAAGACATTTGTATGTGTTGTTCCTAGGGTCCTTTGTTAAACTAAGTCTCCCTCTGGCGGCCATCTTGGATGATGGATTGGCTTTAAGTAACAACACTTGGTCAGCACCTCAAAGAGAACATTCATGCCATGTTTGGTTTCATTCCATTCAGTGGTTCTCTAAAAGAAGACATTTGTATGTATTGTCCATAGGGTCTTATGTTAAAAGAAGTCCCCCGCTGGCGGCCATCTTGGATGATGGATCCGCTTCAAAGTAACAAAATTTGGTCAGCACCTCATAAGGAACATTCATGCTATGTTTGGTTTCATTCCATAGAATGGTTCTCTAAAAGAAGACATTTGTATGTATTGTCCATTGGGTTCTTTGTTTAACAAAGTCCCCCGCTGGTGGCCATCTTGGATGATGGATCCGCTACAAAGTAACAACACTTGGTCAGCACCTCATAAGGAACATTCATGTCATGTTTGGTTTCATTCTATTCAGTGGTTCTCTAGAAGAAGTTCAAAATGTAAAAAGTTAACGACGACGACAGACGACGTACGCGAAGTGATGAGAAAAGCTCACATGGCCCTTCGGGCCAGGTGAGCTAAACATTAGGTAAAGAAAAGCTACGACAACCTATTTATTTATTGGCCTAATGGTGTTCTTTAATTTTCACAAAGTTTCGCTGTGAAAATCTAATTTGCTTAAGTATGTATCTTGAAAAGTGATTTGTCGCCTTTATGAAGATCAATTATAGTTTGCAAAAGAGAGGCAAAAGATATCAAAAGGATATTCAAACTCATAAGTGAAGGAAAAACAAACAACGACATGGGAAAAATTTAGAAAAAAAAAAAGAAAAACGACTAACAGACAAAAAACAGTCTACAAAACAAAACATTGAAATCTAAGAAGCAACACGGACCCCACCGAAAACTGAGGTAGATCGCAGGTGCAAGCTATAATTAGTCGTTTCATCGCACAAATTGAAGTTCAAGTTGTTATCATTGAAAGAGTTAATGAATTGCATGACGGCATAAATGTTTTATGAATTAATTCACTGGTGCTGTTTTAATCAAAATGTAACAAAACAGTGATGATAGCAACGCATATCATACAACAGTAAAACATACTGTAACGGATCCCGGATAAACTCTTTTTTTTATTTTTAGCATGAAGGGGTCAACTTCGAATCCTTTGATTAGATAAAAGAATTCAATATATCGATTAAAAAATGAATGACAACTACAATATGTAATTTCAACAAAGTGATTTTGAAAGACATAGAAATATGCTATTTATTTCGAAATGCTGATTTGAATAATCGCAGGTAAATGTAAAAGAAATAATAAATCACTTCACAGAGAACCACTGTTAACACGAAGGAAAGACTTACATATCACTGTCAGCACGGTGAAATTGGAATGGCTTCCATATGTATTTTGGACAAAGAGAGTATAATTCCCTGCATCCTTTAGTTCGACATTTCTAATTATGAGGAATGGGTTACGTAGTTCTCCAATTGTTTGACGATGACTTTTATATATATTGTTTCTCCCCTGTCTCCAATTTATTGTGGAACCCGGGGGAGCATTCTTAACTATTACATTAATCGTCACGTTATCTCCTACTCTAAGGACATAGCATTCCTGGCTGATATTAACTGCTGGAGGATCTGAAAAAAAATATTTGAATTATAAACTGATTTACGGACATAATTTTATCTCAGTCTAAAAATTCTTTTATATATGTTGCAAGAAATAAAAGATTGATTGTTGCTTGCTGAATGTCCAATATCAAATATTTCAAGCATAATATCATGATTAAGGATGAGAGCATAGTATCATGATTAAGGATGAGACCATACAATAGGTAGGTTTTTTTAAGTAGGAAGGCGAGAAATATAGACTGCCACTGGTAAATAAAGGTACAATGTATGTTGGATATTTTCTCATTTCTACCTGACGAGGCTGTGCATTTATACACCAGCTGTATGGACAACCCCCTCAAGCAAAGGGTTATCTGTCGGACTAGAGAGGTCAAGAGGAGCCAGATTTCTATACACATATTAAACTTGCGGGTTCTGTTTTCAAAAAGTGTAATCTAGTTGATACTCTTGAACATCATTGTGCAGACAATAACGTTACTTTGCAGTAGTTGGGTCAAACCAGTCTTCATATATCATTTTGAAAATTACCATTCTAATTTTGTGCCGCAATGACATACTCAACTTCCATTTTTGCAGTATTTGTTCATGGTATCAATTATGCTTTACGCTATTAAGATCTTAACAAAGCAAGACAAGTAAATATTGCCGTAGGCCAAATTCACCGACTGGTTTATCAAAGATTTCCCCGCTAAGCGAGTGGCATCGAGGAATGATAGCATAGACGGAGTCGAAATAATGGGTCCAGGTTACTATTGACCAATTTCATCTATGATCAAACTTTTAAGGTGAAAAAATATCAATTCATTGAGGTGTCGTGGATTTTTCTGAGTACAAAAGTTCATTATCAATTTTTAGAAATGTGTTGCTAGAGTTCCGGGAATCATCGAATCATCCTCCTTACGATGATATTCTAACAAATAAAACGAAAAAAACCTTCAAGATTAGAAGACAATGGTTGTTTAAAAGCGCCCATTATGTAAATACATGCATGTTCATGTATTTCACATCCAATCTTTTATGGTAATATTCTTTACAAAGCACAAAAATGTCAGTATTCATCTCAAAACCTAACAAAACCTTTAAACAGACTTATCAAGAAGGGATATAGTTACGATACCTTTGTCAGGTCATTAAAGATTGCATATTTTGGCTTTAATATTGATTCACTTATAGGGTCTTTGCATCGGAATTAAACATATTTATTCAAAAACCAGTTGTTGGCATGACACGGGTTATGTTCTTCTCATATATTTTATGATGGTATAATACTACAGCCCTAACAGGAGGGATTGTGGCTGATATTCATATGATGAAGACATAATCTTTCAATCAGTTTGATTGAGGTCTGGAGCTGGCATGTCAGTAACTGCTAGTAGTCTGTTGTTATTTATGTATTATTGTCATTTTGTTTATTTTCTTTTGTTTCCTATTCTAACATTGGACTCGGACTTCTCTTAAACTGAGTTTTACTGTGCGTACTGTTGTACGTTTGTTTTTTCTACATTGGCTAGAGGTATAGGGGGAGGGTTGAGATCTCAAAAAAACATGTTTAACCCCGCCGCATTTTTGCGCGTCCCAAGTCAGGAGCCTCTGGCCTTTGTTAGTCTTGTATCATTTTTAATTATAGTTTCTTGTGTATAATTTGGAGTTTAGTATGACGTCCATTATCACTGAACTAGTATACATATTTGTTTAGGGGCTAGCTGAAGGACGCCTCCGGGTGGGGGAGTTTCTCGCTGCATTGAAGACCCATTGGTGGCCTTCGGCTGTTGTCTGCTCTATGGTCGGGTTGTTGTCTCTTTGACACATTCCCCATTTCCATTCTCAATTTTATGTAAAAAAAAAACAGTTGGGTGTGACTGTCATATTGAATAGGCAGAACTAAAACAATTCTGATAGATATTTGTTCGATTCGCTCGTGTATGTAACATCGTATTTGATTTTAACGGAATAAATCTCTGTATTACTGAAAAGTTATTACACCAGGGTTTTCGATATCACAAACTTGTCAAAACATTTACTAAATTTTATCATTGGTACAAGGACATCACTCGTGAATATTAATCAACGTGCAGACATCTTATGCGTTCAGGTATTTCACATCCCATCTTTTATCATAGATAATGGTAATATTCTATTCAAAGCACAAAAATTTCGTCATTCACCTTTAAACAGACTTATTCAGAAGGGATATAGTTACGATACTGTTGACCTGATGGCATTTTTTGGAATTAATATTGATTCGATCACTCATAGGGTCTTTGCATTGGAAATAAACACATTTATTCTAAATCCAGTTGTTGACATGATACGGGTTATGTTCTTATCGTATATTTTATGATGGTATGATACTAAACTCCTAACGGGAGGGATTGTGCCTGATTTTCATATGTTGGGGGGGGGGGGGGGGGGTATAAAAAATGTAAGTTAGCTAGCAAGCTTGAAGATTATGTACCATTGTTATACACAAATATAGAAAAATATTTAACTCGGTGGTGGATTCGCTTCGGCGGAGGAGAGATTGGGGTTATATCTCGTACACCGCCACCCTTTGATTTAATGGATTTTACTCTCTGTTGAAGACCGTACGATGGTCCGTGTAACACTTATGAATTCAAAATTTCAAAAAGTTTAGAAATTTTAGATTTTTGGAATTTTGATCAAAGTTTTAAAATATCAAAATTCCAAATTTTTTAAAAGTTTTGAAATTTTGAAATTTCACCAAATAATTAAAATTTTAAAATTCTAAATATCGTTTTTAAATTTGATAGTTTAGATATTTGATCAAACTTTAAAAGTACTAAACTTAACGTGCAGTTTTGATTATTTCGCTTTTTGAAAGTTTGATTTTTCAAATTTTTGATTAACATATCAAAAATAGAAAAGGGGCGAAAAGAGGGGTACCTGTAAACACGGCTCTGATTATGATCATTCTTAGTTTGGAATAAAAAGCACGAAGTATATCAAATCAGTTTTAATTACAAACTAAATAATTAAAAGAAGAATTCGGATATTTATAAGTCATATTAGACATCACCGTATCCTGAAATTTTTAATGTTGTGCATCTATTAAAAAAGAAATTTAAACCTATTTAAACCGGCATCAAACAAGTTTTTTCCGTTTGAATGGTTTTACACTAGTAATTTTTTGGGGCCCTTTATAGCTTGCTGTTCGGTGTGAGCCAATGCTCCGTGTTGAAGGCCGTACCTTGACCTATAATGGTTTACTTTTATAAATTGTAACTTGGATGGAGAGTTGTCTCATTGGCACTCATACCACATCTTCCTATATCTATGATTTACTTTTAAAAAAAAATCTCTAATATTTGGTGTCCCAAGCGCCCAATATTTGGGAGTAACAGTGAAAACTTACCAACTCGCAGTAAGCCAATTAGTATTAATTGACTTTTGAGCGTTCCTGATGAAGGTAGATCCAAAATAAAAACCCAAAATTAATTTACATAATGGAAATGTAGGCGATAGCAATACACCGGATTGACCTCACGGTCATCCGCTGAAAAAGCGCTTCGGTCGCATGCAATTTTTAACGTTTTGTTTTCATTTTTTATCGATTGAATGACGATAATATATTGCCTTTTATGATTGATTTCAGTTCCAATAGATATAAGAAGATGTGGTATGGATGCCAATGAGACAACTCTCCATCCAAGTCACAATTTATAAAAGTATGGTCTTCAACATGGAGCCTTGGCTCACACCGAACAGCAAGCTATAAAGGGCCCATAAAATTACTAGTGTTAAACCATTCAAACGGGAAAAACAACTGTCTAATCTATATAAAAAACGAGAAACGAGAAAAACTTATCTAAAACAATAGTGTAACATCACCTTTTCAATTGTTTCGGTTCTTATATTTACTTGACTTTCAAATATTCAGTTTTCAGCGTTCTGTAGGTGAATGCTTTAATAAAAATTCAGCGTTTTAAATTGTCCTGGATTTTCGAGAGCAACATTGGTGTATGGCCAAAAAAAAAATCCATTATGCAGACAGCGTGGCACTCTCTTTATACGCCCCATTCTGACTGGACAGGTACTGTCTTCTTTTACTTAGCTGTAAGTTGATTGTCGTACAATAACTTAAAAATGCACAAACAACAAATACGAAACTATCCCTTCATAGAAAAAAATCCCGTTTCCTTTTATTTGCTATTTTAAAAATGTGGCGGATTGAGGACCCCTAATCGAGCTACGTATATGATAAATGCATATACTTTTTACAAGCATCAGTCCAAAAGTTGTCTACAAAATAACTATTTAACTTCAAAAGTGGGGGTATGGTTGTTTTGTCGAGGTGAGAACTTTTTTTTCGCGCTAAGCGCGAACAATTTTATTAAGTTTTTCAACGTAATTAATCAAATTATTTGGTTCATAAGTTAACGTTACACTATATGAAAATCTGGATACAGAATATGTTTTTTTTGTCCTCTGCTTGTACAGAATATTTTTCCCCATCAAATTGGGGATCAGAATATTTTTTAGGAAAAAGACATACCCCCCTTTGCAGTTAAATGATCGTTCTCTGACTAGGCCCCACCTTTTCAAATTCATTGATCCGCACCTGAAAAATGTACCATTATTGTGGGAGGTCATATATAGTGTCACCTTAGTGACAATATTTATATTTCGGATTCCCAAATAGATTACCATTTACCGCTGATATAAACTTCTAAAAATTAATTTCAATTTTCAAAATGCCGACACCTACAAATGGATATATGAGCGCTTAATGTACAGCGGCAACTATTACATAAGTATGCAGGCTGAAAATAATGGTAATGGTATACGTTTATATGATATGAATGTGTTCAGCTTTTACAAAACCAGAACGATGAGTTTGATGTTAACGTTTACTTTATTTGGCCTTTTTAATTTTATTTGACTGTATTGGCCTTTTTATCTTAATTTGATTCGAGCGTCACTGATACGTCTTTTGTAGACGAAACGCGCGTCTAGCGCAAATACAAATTTTACATCCTGGTATCTATCTATGGTGAGTTTATGTAGATACTTTATAACAGTATCCTGGCTCCAAGCTACTAATATTTGGTCTTACTCTTCAATTCAGCTTAAAAAAGATATCAACAACCACCCACATTCGAGGCTAGCACAACGTTCATTGAATTCATTTTTCCTATTTTACCAATACTTAGAACTAAAATCAATGATACAAGGCAATATATCATCTTCATGCAATCGATAAAAAATGAAAACAAAACGTCAAAAATTGCATGCGTCCGATGCGCTTTTCTGGATCTACCTTTATCAGGAACGCTCAAAGCCGAATATTTGAAGGCCAACAATTTATAAAGAACTGAAATAGTTGATTAAAAGGTTAAAGATGATCGTTCAAAATGTATAAGCAATGATTTCATCTGCCGACATGATTACAGAAAGTAAGAAGTCGTAGAGCAAAACAGAAAAATTTGAAATCAAATTTGAGATGACACAACGTGTATTGAGCCATTTTATTGCTTAAAGTTCAGTAGAAAATATATAGACATACTCAACCTAACCATTCTATTTGACCTACTGCGAGTTGGTTAGTGTTCACTGTTACTCCTAACTGAAGGGCGCTTGGTAAACCACATAGTTCTGAATTATTTATCTGAAACGCTATATAGCTTATATTAGAGATTTTCAAAACGTAAGTCAACTTGTTTGATGCCGGTTTAAATAGGTTTGCATTTCTTTTTTCAATAGATGCAAAACCTTAAAATTTTCAGGAATCCGATACTGTTATCGCGATACTGTTATCTCATGTGATGGCCAAAGTAAAATCACAAAAATATCGAACTCCGAGGAAAATTCAAAGAGGAAAGTCCTCAATCAAATGGCAAAATCAAAAGCTCAAACACATCAAACGAATGGATAACAACTGTCATATTCCTGACTTGGTACAGGCATATTCTTATGTAGAAAATGGTGGATTGAACCTGGTTTTATAGCTAGCTAAACCTCTCACTTGTATGACAGTCGCATCAAATTCCATTATATTGACAACGATGCGTAAACAAAACAAACAGACACAATAGGTTAAAATGTCAAAAATAGGGTACAGCAGTCAACATTGTGTTATCATCTCAATCAACACAAAAACAAACAAATGTAACGAAGAAGCACAAAAAGGCATACATCAAATTTAACATCCTCATTTTGCTTTTTTATTATACGATTTTATTTATCTATGTAAAATCCACCCATAAAGGATGGAAGGTTTTAAGTACTGGCGTAAAATCGCGCGTTTGAAATTCGCACAGGTAGACATAAAATAATTTTGTCGTTCAAAGTATGACGGGATACATAAGTACAGAGTCACGTAAAATGGATATCACAAAAAAACAGACTTAACAGTAAAAGCAATATTAATAAATAAAATAATTTTGTGGTTCAAAGTATGACGGGATACATAAGTACAGAGTCACGTCAAATGTATATCACAAAAAACAGACTTAACAGTAAAAGTAATATAAATAAATAGAATAATTTTGTCGTTCAAAGTATGACGGGATACATAAGTACAGAGTCACGTCAAATGGATATCTCAAAAAACAGACTTAACAGTAAAAGTAATATTAATATAGACAAATAAAAGAATACTATAACACGTTATTAAGATGATAAACAACGTCAGTACGCATACTGTATACTTCAAGACCATCGTGTATTATTCGTGAAGTTGATACGGAATATTTATCAACAAGGTCTTGGTACCTTCTGATGAACTTTTTTAGAAAAAGGACGAGACGTTCTTTGACATATCCCTGATTCATCAACTTTCTGCTCAGACACTGGTGACGTTTTACAAAGTCTGAGTAGGAGCTGCAAGCTCTTGAATACCGAATAAGTTGGGAAATGTATATCCCATATGCAGGTGAAGTTGGTATATTGCTACTAAGGTGGGGGAAATTAATAACTTCAAAATTAGAATCGTCTCGTTTGTCATAGATTCTGGTACTGAGATGACTGTGTATGTCAAATTCGAGGTATAAGTCTAAAAATGAGGCGGAGGAAGCCGTGTCTGTTGTTTCTTTAATTTCTAGTTCTGGTGGATATATTAATGGAACCCAATCAGAAAAGTTCGGATTGTTAATGGAAAGAACATAATATACAATTTGTTTAAAAAAAAAAACTTCTTCTTAGATTAATTATTTTGCACTTAAAAATTATTTGCTATGTTTCGTGTTTTCTTTTTTAAGGTAAGAATCATCATAATCAGAGCCGTGCGTCTTGTTTTAAAATGAGTTCTCTTCTTTTGAGAAATTAACTTTTAACTAACAGTAACTTTTCACTTCATTTTGTTTCGCTTCGTTCCGCTTTTATTTCGTTTCGCAGTTTACATGTATACTTCGTGCTTTTTATTCCTAACTAAGAATGATCATAATCAGAGCCGTGTTTACATGTATCCCTCTTTTCGCTCCTTTTCTATTTTTGATATCTTAATCAAAAATTGAAATAATCAAAACTGCACGTTAAGTTTAGTACTTTTAAAGTTTGATCAAATATCTAAACTATCAAATTTAAAAACAATATTTAGAATTTTAAAATTTTAATTATTTGGTGAAAATTTCAAAATTTCAAAATTTTTAAATAATTTGGAATTTTGATATTTTAAAACTTTGATCAAAATTCCAAAAATGTAAAATTTGAAAACTTTTTAAAACTTTGAATTGATAAGTGTTACACGGACCTACGATGACATGCAGTTGTTTACAGCGGTGTCCTTTGTTTACGTAAAACGTTCCATCATTTGCAGTAGTACAACATGTCTCTATTTCAATGATCTTTTTTTGAATATATAACACTTGCTAATATTAGTGTCCTACAAAATTCATGTGAAAAGTTAACCACTGTATATGTTTATTCATACAGTGCTGACCATATTTCCCTTTTTGTGGAAAGTAAACATATCTACGAATTGCATCGTTTGTTGACATCTTAAAAGTGTGCTCTAAGACACATTGTCAAAATATTTTCATAGGAAGATCCTTAAAAGCGGGGCACGCATATGGCAAAATTTTGAGTACTTTGTATATTTGCATAGCGGCCATATTGCTGTACCATAACGACCGCCATTTCAACAGGATTATACATGTCTCTAAAATAATATGAAATTATGCCAATTCCTAAGTCGCATCAACAATTTGTCCGCATACAATGTGTAAGTAAGTTGTACATTTTTTGTTGCCTTCTGTTCGTGTACAAACGAACATTTTCAACTTTGAAAACTTTCGGCCTTTCAGTTTGAAAATCGGAAGCGTAACCGTAGTATGATTTCTATATAAAATAACCCTTATTCGAAAAACAAGACAGATTCAATATAAAAATAAAGATACAAGTTGAGTTTTTTTCATAATTTGTCCGCATATGAGGAAAGAAATACCTTTGAGGTTGAATGTTCAGGGTAAATAACTTTTATCACACCTTTTTACCTGATTTTTCAGACAAAACCTTTTATCAAAAAACATTGATTTCATCCTTCCCATTTCGTAAATGTTCAAATTTTAAGCATCCTCTGTTAGAATTACACAACATATTTTGAAATATCTGCTAAAGAAAGTTTTAAAGGACACGTTAGGTTTAAGTCTAAGACGGAAAAAGACTTGATTATCTGCAAATTAGATATTATTTATATCTTTCAATCTACAACTAAGGGAGGTAATTCAAACAAAAGGACTGGAGTAACGTTGTACAAATCCAGTGAATAAAGTACTATGGATTTTTGCCATATGACGCTCGACGTTAGCGACATGCGTTAAAAAATGCTCACTGTTAAAGTACCGAGCCACCTTAAGTTCTTTTATCATACTTACATCCAGATGATATAGTTATAGTACCGCTTGCTTTTTCAATATCGTTTGATCCATAGCATCTATACTCCCCATCATCCTGCTTTTCTACATTCTGTATAATCAATGACTTAGTTAATTCTCCGGAAGTCCTGGCAGTATCTACTGGTTGCTCCTGTCCGTTTTTTACTCGTTTCCACCAGACTTTATCAGCATTGTCAAAATAACAGTCTAATTTAATCGGGCTTCCTCTTACAGTTTGATAGTTTCTTTTAGGAACGCTCACCGATGGAGGGCCTGGATAAATTTATTTCAATTAGGCGAGATAAAAAAGAATGGAGATGAAAACGACAATATACAAAATAAAACTTACAATTCAAATAAAGATTGTTTAAAAGATAATGGCAATTATACCACGTCTCCATTCTTTTTTATATATATAAACTGCTTATATCCAAAACTGACTGAGTCTTGTTCTTTTCTAATTCAGTTGCAATTTATTCGAACTATCATAATTAATACAAATGCTCTCTTGAGCTCAGTACAGTATTTTAAAATGGTCTATTGTTCCTCTAGATGTCTTTTGGTTATATTTTTCTTTGGGTTGCTGTTACGTCGACCTTTCACCTCCTCCTATTCATACTGAATATCTTTAAGGTCTTTATTGTCTCTTTCTTTCTATATATATACAATCATATATAACCCCACATTTGTATTAGTTATACAATTATATCTTAATTTTCGTTGATTTTACAACTAACTGTTTGGAATAACATAAAAGAGATGAAATAATTGTAATTTATACCCCGTTTAAACCGGATTCGACCCGAATTAGTTAATACGGGTTAAATATAGATAGTGTGAACGCCTTAACCCGGGGCGAACCCGGATTAAAATTACCCCTCATTTTAGGTGGAGTTAATGTGGGGCGAACCCGGGTTAATTACATTGCCTTCTATGAGGGGATTTTTTTTGTCAATCACGATTCACAGAAAATAAATTTCCATGATCACGGATCACGAAAATATAAAAAAAAAAAATCAGTAGAAAACGGATCACGATAGCGAAAATGCGCCGATCACGAAGAACGAAAATAACCCATCAGGCCCCTCTTCTATATGTGAACGTAAAATGAAGTTAATGTGAGGTTGTTGCTATGGTGACATATTTAACGTTGAAGACATAACGCAATGTAACGTGATTATTGTGTGACGTCACATATCGAATGACGTCATAATTTGACAAACACGACACCGACGTCCAGCTTTCGTATTTACTGGGTCACGAATTATAACCGTATTAAATTAGGGGCAACAAGAGGGATATAAGTGTACGTATCTATGTTGAAAGACCTGCATATAATATCTATAAGATTTGCGTCGCTTTTTTGGGGGCAAAATGGTTGGATAAAGTGATGTTATTTGACAACTATGAATGTGGTTGGTGTGAAACTCCTCCGAAGCGGTCAAAAGTACGGTTAAAAAAATCAGACTTTGAAATAATGAATCTGCGATGAACAAAAAATGTAAATATGCTCAGTGGACAGATGCGGGTTATAATTTTAGCGCCTACATTTCTATAAATTTTGTTGAGAGGGAAAATCCCAAACTGGTTTAATTTTTTATTAAGTGTGAACTGGGGTTATTAATTCGGATTAATTACCCCGGGTTATACCCGGAGCAAATTTCATAGTGTGAACACGATATTAGTTTCTCAAATGTATCTCATTATGCCTGACCAACGTCATGCAACCTTTCCGACGTAACGTTCACCTCAATCAAAATCCTACATTTCGAAAACGCTCAACTTTTTTTAATATATAGTGATTTACACGGTAAATTCTTCAATAAATAGAGTAATACAACACAAATATTAACTGGGCGACAAATCATCCCTAATGATCTTTATAAAATTTAGCATCAAACTTAAGCAGTATTATTGATTTTGGGGGTCAATTGGTCAAAGGACAAGATCACAGCATCTATATTGATAGACATACATTTTTATAAATTATTGTTTCCGGATGATTTATTTTAAACCGTATCTTCAACCTTTACCAAATTATGACTAATGGGATGGAAAAGACGGATATTAATTTTGGTGTCAATAAGTTAAAGGTCAAGTTACAACAGCTTTGAAAAGACTAAAATTTGTAAATATTTGGCTTCCGGATGGTATCTTTTAAACTGTATGTCTAATTATTACTAAATTTGATTCAAAAATGCCCCATTAGGTGAGGAAGACCCCTATTGAGTATGGGTCAATAGGTTAGATGTCAAGGTCAATTTAGAATGATATATAATCGCCCCTTGAGAAAACAAACACCCCGTGTGATTTATTCAATTATATCTTAGGTGGAATACTGTTTGTTTCTTCTGTTTTCTTTTGGTCCAAATGGTTTCAGTACTCAAAAACGTTTTCAACGGATGTTTTTTTTTTCTTCCTTTTATAGATATTTATTTTGCACTACATTTTCTTTTGTCTTAGCAAAAGTATTTACAACAGTTTTCTTTTTTTTTTTATGAACAAGTATCAATAATTATTCCACACGGGGTTTGGCATAATACACATGCATATAATTATTTGAAGGCCATTAAGATAATATACACAATTAGGTGAAAGACAACTTGGCCTGAAGACAACTAGGACCGTCTGCAAAAAAAGACTACTCGGACTGTCTATTGAAACAACTCAGTCCGTCAATAAGTCAACTCGGATCGTCTATTAAGTCAATTCGGATCGTCTATGATTCCAGTTTCCATTCTTGTTTTAAAATGAGCATCGCAGAAATGAAACATTTTCAAAGAAAATGTCAATAAAAAAGTTAACTAAAATAAACTACAATCCAATTACCGGGGACAAAGCAGAATAAGCAGATAATAAATTGTAGTTCTTCTTATGTTTTTTTTATGCATTTTGCTCTTCATCTCCATATTCAGGCCTTATGCGTTACAGGTAAATACAAATTTGCTGCTTTAATTATCAGCTAATAAAAGGTTATTAACTCATATATACTTACACAAAATCGATTGTCACTAGTGCACATTGTCTTATGAAAGTATACCTTTTAATGTCTTAGGAGCTAATAGAATATGTTTGCGGCGCTTTAACGCTGCTTGTCGTTTTTACCGCGTTTAATCAGTGCAGAAAATCCTTTTTCAAATAATACATAAGATTATTTTGAGCATAAAAAACCAATACATGTCCTTAACATAATGGAAGGGAAAATTGGCATGATAAACCAATACATGTCCTTATCATTGGGGGAAAAGTGAGCATGAAAAACCTATAAATGCTTTTAAATTATGCGAAAAGAAAGCATGATAAACCTTAACTTGTCCTTAACATACTGGAATTAAAATGCAATAAACTTATATTACTTCAAATCTAGTTATTATACACATTTAAGATTAGATTCGGCAATGTAAGTGATAGATACACAAATATTTATAACAATTTTATGAAAACCATGAAATATGTAGGTGTAAGTTCATTTTAATCATACTTCCTATTACAACTTCCGTATCCATATATGAGGTTCCAAACATATTAGCCACGTTGCATCTGTAAACTGCTTGGTCTTGTTGATAGACTTTTTTTATTGTCAAATTTGGTATTGACAAGTTTCCACCGCTGTACTTATTCATATTATGACCAATAAAGACAAACTGTGTATTGACCCACTTCTTTTCCCACCATATGGATGTTATATTGGTCGTTGAAACACCAGGAGTACAGGACAAAGTCACATTCATTCCTTCCCGAACAGTGTAGATGGATCTTTCCATTTTAGGAGGTCGCGGTATATCTGCAAATGAAGTGTAGATGATTTTCAAAACAGCTAATAGTTAAATTATATAAACATTGCAATAGGAATAGGAAACTGCATACCGGTATTTCAAACGACAAAACATTCAAAGAAATCAATACCACATAAAACCCTATCATGGAAAATGTGCTGTCACATATAGCAAATTGAAATTAATACGTATACTGATAAAGAGATCCCGTCTTCCTACACAATGATATCAGCTGCTTTACTTCTTAGAAGATTTCATACAACAATACCATGACATGTGAGGACAAATGTGATGAATATGATTATGATTAATACATATAAAGCTGAATGTTAAGCACCGTAGATTCTGCAAAACCAGCAAATCTGACTTGATAACAAAAGGAGCATATACACGAAAGTACAATGCAAATAGGTATGTGTAATCATTTCTAAACAAATATTTTATTCAAAGCAGTTGGGGTTTGGCGGTAGAGGAACTCTCTTATCATGTGTTTGAACTGATATACACGGTCTCTTACTTTTTTATAACTTATTCTATCAAACATTTGTTATTTAAATGACGCATAATCCACATGTAAATGACCTTTGAGAATGTCAACTGTGAATGTTGATAACTGAGATTGAATCTTTGTATATATTTTCAATAAAAGTGTTGGACCAAACATAATACCAATACAAAGAATGTACTGTTTTCAGCCATCCCCATACACGGAAAATATTATGAGAATTTTTTCTCAACTGTTAAAAAAAAATATTCGCTTCGAAGAAAAATCAAAAGAAGCTTGCATCGACCCTAATTTTAAGTTCCGGTGCAGAAATTATACTCTCTCAGAAAATAATTCAAAGATTGGTTACTAAGATTATCTATTCAATTAAATTTAAAATAAAGGAAACCACATATAAAGTTAAGTGTCATAGGTTCTATTTCTCTATCAAAATCCCGTGGCCAGCAGCGCCTGCATAAGAAGTATGCATCTCCCATTTAAAACGACAATCCAGGGCTTGCGTTTTCTATCCTTAATTTCTCCCTGAAAGAGCGTTGCTTCTATTGAACTTTGTGTATCAAATGGTATAGTTGAAGTAATTCATAAAAAGGTTTACGGATGCCATCATGATTTGGTTGACCGTTACGGAATATATATGTCAGAGATGACCACGAATATGTTACACTTGTCGTATCCACAATCCCGTCCTCGATTGTCACATCACCTAATGGGACATATTATTAAAATTTAACTCGCAGTGATTTACACGACAGAAGCCACTAGCTATGCAGGAACTGCTTACCCTTCTGGAGTACCTTAGTTCACCCGCGTATTTCTTTGTAGGGTCACTGTAGCTCCATATTTAGTTTTCTTTAAAATGATTGATGGACGATTTTAATTTTTGGCCATGGAATTTTCTATTTTGATTGTTGTTGTATTCCCCTTTGGTATCTTATCCCTCTTTTTATGGGAAACAGATGATTATGGATATGTTTTACTTGTCGTAGGCACAATGCCGTCCTCTTTTCGTACAGCAACTGAACTCTAAAAAGACGCTTAGTTAGCGAGTTTAATAAAACCTGAATAACACACGACTGGAAATGATTTAAAATGATCGAATACTATCAATATTTGACTTTTTGTCTGGTCGTAAAATGTTTCTTTGGTCACATTTTTATATGTTAGTCCGTTAAGTAGTAATCCTCAATTATTGGTTTTGCTTATAATAAACAAAATGATAAATACAAGTTTTGTTTAATTTCAGACTTTGTTTGTAAAAATTTTCGATGCACATATTTTCAAGAGTCATCGGAATCCTGAATACATAAATCAGTACCATTCCCGAACACAATAGTTAAACTAACGTTTGCCACTTTTTTATTGAGTAATTTTCGCATTTGTCTTTGAACGATTCCAAAAGCAGTATAATTAGAGATACTACATGCCAATTTCAATGGATACATGAAGACTTCAGCGGTTTATCTATGTTTACATCTCGTATATCGATTAACAAGAGACAAATCAAGGAAACAAACAAAAACCGAGGGAATCGTACGAACTCCAAAAGGGGCAAGACCGGGTGTATCGACAGGGTAAGCGTGTCTTGCTGTGTAAATGTATGGTAAAGCGAATTATTGAGCGCATTGAAAGACATAATTTCTTCAGCAACCATGCTTTGATGGGTGATGGATCAACTTCACTTCAGCTGTTGAAAGTCGTAGACAAGTGGACAAAGGTACTAGATTATGGTAGTATATTGCACTCTGTATAAATGGACTTTATGAATGTTTCCTATATTTGTTTTTCGTTCATTGTTTTTTATAGTTTGTTCTTGTGTTGTGCCGTTACACCGCTGTCCTAAGTTAGGGGAGTGTTGGCGCCTTCAAAAATGTTTAACTCCACCACATTCTGTATGTGCCTGTCCCAAGTAAGGAGCCTGGTTGTCGTTTGTTGTCGATTGTACATAAATCAGGCCGTTAGTTTCTTGTTTAAATTGTCTTTTTTTTTCATTTGTCATTTCGGGGCCTTTTATAGCTGACTATAACGGTATGGGTTTTGCTCATTGTTGAATACCGTATTGCGACCTTTAGCTGTTAAGCTCTATGTCATTTGGTCTCTCGTGGAGAACTCGAGTTGTCTCATTGGCAAACATACCACATCATCTTATTTTCATATTTATGAAAGCTTTCGACAAGGAGCCGAACATGAGATCCGGTTTTATGGCATCAGTGATTAAATTACAAATTAGATACAAGTTTATTTTAGCAGTAGACAACAATGCGATATGTCAAATTAAAGTTTCGTGATCAAGTTGTAGGAATGTAACCAGCGGAAGTCTACAAGGAACCGTAATAGGCCAAATCCTTTTTGATCTTTTCATCACAATCTGCAAACAATGTATTTCCAGATATTTGATTGTCCGTAGATGATACCAACTTATTTAAGGAATTGTCTATTAAAGTGACCCGAAGTTTATTCAGAAGGACCATATGAGACTTTTTAAAAGGACTAAACTATGGCTTTTGAAATTTCATCACGACAAATGTAAATTCCTACCAATTATTAACAACAAACGTCTCTTGATAATCTGTTTTCCTAGGATGCAAGAGTTGTGTATCATCGGTCATGTGATACATTTGTAATGCATTTACCAAAAGGCAAAATTGTAGTATCTGTCAATTAGAAACAGAAGACCAGTGTGCGACCAATCTGAAACACATGTATCCCCACAACCTAATACATTTATTCAAACAGGCTCTCAGTATCCCCCTTCTTCCCAGTGTTTTGGATATAAACACATATTGTGTTTTCGTGAAAAGACAAAATACTGCACAAAATCGAGTCACGCGAAGCTGTATACCGTCTATTGAGGTGCGCAAGTGAAAGTAGTGATTTAACTATGGTAAAGATAATCGCGAATACAGTACTTTAAAAAAAAAAAGAGCTGTCTACCACTCAGCATGCATTACGAAGTGCTTATTGATATCATAGTTACCCTTTGTAATCAGACAATACAGTTGCAGAAGAATCAGAGCTTTTAACTTCGATTCACGATGCAAAGATATACATTTCATACAATATACACGTTATCTTGAAATTATTATCTAACCAAAGTAAGTTCTGATTGAGTTTTTTATAATTTAGGACACATTACGTAATGAAGTCGAGACTATTACATTTTACTTGAAACAATGTAAAAGATTACAGTGAGTAAAACTATTAAAGAATTAAGGGTATTGCGTTTCGGTCTAATAAAGGAGATCTGAATTCAACCTCCTATATTTGATGACTAAATTGTTTTGGCTTTTATCATTGTATTTTTTAAGTTCCTTTTACAGTCTAGCCTAATTCGGGACCCTCAGAACGGATTGCACTCAACTTTGCTTCACAGACCTCTTCCCTGTAAGGTCAAAATTAAACTGTTTCCACCTTTAGAAATGTAAATAAAAAAAGTTAGAGTATTCAAAAATAACCCCCCAAAAAAATAATAATTACTTACTTATGAAAACAAAAACTCTTTTCCCCTAAGAATAACAGAGTATTAAAAAATAACCCCCCAAAAAACTAATAATTACTTACTTATGAAAACAAAAACTCTTTTCCCTTAAGAATAACACAAACACAAGAATAATTTATGATACTGGGAAACACTCCGAACCTTTTAAGAAAGTTTAACTCTAAAGTGTTTAGGTAAGATTGTTAATGGCGATCCATTCTTGTACAAAAAAGGATTTCTTTATGTCGCAAATCCTCGACACATACCGATCACTTTTGCCCAAGAATGTCTTCAATACTTGCACATCCGCAAAAGCTTAGAGCAAATTAATCATTTATGTAATGGCAGCTCAATCTCAATTCAGAAGTAGTGTTGCTAAAATAAAGAATTCGGAAAGATACGACTGTTACCGAGTCTATCGTTTCTGTAGCGAAGTGTACATTCACTAAATTCCATGTTGGGACCAGCAGAGCAGTTACATCATGAATACGGGTAACAAACTTTAATTGAAACTTTGTATTCACATGACTTTTGTGCTTCTTATGCAGAGTTTAGTCCAGATGGTACCCAACTCATCCATAAGATCTGCCAACAATGATCGGCGAATTGGTGTAAATTCTAACCGAAAAGTATTTGAGGTGATGGAAGGTCGATCAATACCAGCTGCAAACTGGAAACAAAATTGAGCATCAGCGCGTATAAACAAGCTATTCTCAAGTTCCCGGTTGTCCAATTCCCTGTACTGACTTTCCTTGAGGATAATATTTATCTATCGGCCATTTTTGTTGATTTTAAGAAGTTCTATTCTGCAAGGATTGCTGATTGTCGAGATTTATTCAGCACACATGAAAACGCACACAGATGAATGATTATTCATGATATGTTTGATGATAATGAATTTGGAAGGGAAACCAAAATATCTATAGTTGAATACTAGTAGTCTCCCGATTTCCTCATTCTATGTGTGCATTTCTTACGTCAATGAAAAACACCCAGGAACTGTGTTTTCAAACCACATCGTCAATGTTTGGAATAGGAGAGAAAACTGTTAACAAAGTTCTAAAGTACAATCTTGATGACTTCAGCGATTTATATCATCTTTCTCTTGGTTGCATTGCAGAATCCGTAGCAGAACAGTTGTGCAAGGTTCTTTGACAAGAAATTAAAGCCAAATTGATCACGAGAATCTGAATAAACTTAGGGTTAGTAAAGTTAAAAAGAAAGATGCCAGCTTAGTCAAACTACCTCAAAGAGAATTCTTTCTGTGTTAATAATAATTCAGTGTTGTTTGTAATAGTCTTTGTTTTGTTATATACACTTCAATAGGAGCTAATAAATCATATATAGCTATATATTTATGTAGCCTAGGTGGTCAAGGGTCTAGGGCGCTGGACACGGTGCAGGCGGTGTTGCCACGATGTCACAGAAGCAAGGGTTCGAATCCCGCTGAGGGAAGAACTAACATTTTTGGGCTAAATTTGAGACGAGTTATATAATTATATATATATATATATATATATACTCCATAAGAATTCAGCTTGGAAGACCAAACTTGATTAACATCCATCTCTTGCAAGGGAGAAATGTCCTCGGATTACCTGCGTAATTTACTTTGAACTTATAAAAGCAAATATTTATTCTCCAAAAAGTGTGTTTGCTCTCTTGAACTGATAATTTACATGTCAAGGAAGTGAAGCGTGTACAATGTTAATACGCGTAGCAGATCCGCTAACGACGATGAAAAGATAAACGTCTAGCTAAGATTGTTTTATATTATTTCCAAATGTAACTGTCCAAAGCATTTTTAACTGTCTACCCCTTCATAATAACGACCAGAGCTATTTTATGTAGCTCTTCAACGATAAGTTATACGAAAGCCTTGATTGGTTGTCAAATAACAACATAAGAAAATTATCATTCTAATCAGTCACCTCGCTAAAGTTTGATATGACTACACCTTTTACCAGGATAATCCCACCAAGAGAATGTCCATTGTATACAACTGGTTTTGTTTCTTCCATCGAAGATAAATAGCAGCCAAAAAAAAATTCAAATTGATAACGATAATCTATGTCAATGTTCAACAATTTTTCAATTCTGCAAAATGTAAAGGTATGTTCTATAAGCCAATAGTTTTTTTCTTTATAAACAATGCTAGACACTCGATTGACTTCGTTCAAATCTGAACAATTAGTGTGGAGAAAGAGTAACGATAGATTTATCATTAGTTAGATAACCATATATTAAGTAATTGTATTATAAATAAAGTCAGTGGTTGTGATACGTGGATCCTATGATACATCTACTATGTATAAAGTTCCTAAAAGTCTTTGTCTAGAATATTGCTTTCCTGTATGGTCACTGGTTATACATTTAATACCATATCCGGACAAAAATGCTGCATTGGAACAGTTTGAACGGTGCATTATAAAGAGACACTAAACGCTGTTTTCCTTCCTACATAGACGTGATCGACAAGTTAATGCGGTCTTTCAGACATCTGCTTACTTCACTATTGACATGCATGTATTCCGCATTACTAATGAATGGAAATATTGCAAATGGGCTTGTCCATTCTTGTCGACCTTTTCTGTAGTTAAATTTCAATCAATAACTGTGAAAGACAATGAATATGTTTTAAAGGGCAATAATCAACTAATCTTTACTTACTTCCGATCATTAGCTGCGTGGCTACAAAGTTTTGACCATTTGTGTTCTGACCATTACATCTATATTCACCAGAATCACTTTTGGTTGCATTAATAATTTCAAGACTAAGGTTTTTAAATGCACCTCCGTAATATTTCTTTTCATCTGACTCTGGAAAAATATCAAAGCGTCCATTGTGTAATTTTGTCCACCAAACTCTTGTTGTCTTTGGTAACGTTTGACCAAACATACACTTCAAAAGAAGATCATTCCCAACCGCTGAAACATATGTAGACCTTGGAATATGTACCATTGGTAATGTTATATCTAAAAAAATAAAAACCAGTGCAACATTTGAATATGTAGGATGATGAATTTTCATTAGGCGTCGATTTGATAATGTCCTTGACGACACTGATGTTGGTAACTTTCATGTGTTACAATAGTAGATAAATCCAACGTGTTCACGTTTTTCGGTTGAAAGAGTCGAATGAAGTGTGCTTCTTTTGCTAGTTGTTTATATTTATTTGAGTAGTTCGTTTTATAAAACGGAAACACTTTAAGTTTTCCTCTACTGTCAATATGTACCTAGTTTCATTATTGATAATTTGAAGTTTTTGAATCATCGAGCGGCTAAATTCAAAGAAGATTCAACATTGGTACGGTTCGACGTAACCAGTCTGTACATTAATACACTTAACGCTAGGATTAGATGCCGTACATTTTTTTCTAGAATCATATGGTCACATTATTGACCAAAGGTTTTCGAGTACATTTTTGATAGAAGCATTAAAAATCATACTAGAAAAAAATACATTCTTCTTTGGTGCAAAATATTATCCGCAGATCTCTAGTATAGCTATGGGAACAAAAGTTGCTCCAACGTACACAACTCTCGTCGTGATGTGATTTCTAGAGGATAACATGTATCAATAAGTCGAAAATGAATTCGATACAATTTTTATACGCCCGTCTTTAAAGACGGGAAGTAATATTATAGTATACCGTTGTCCGTCCGTCCGTCCGTCTGTTCGTCTGTCCATCTGTCCGTCCATTTGTCCGTCCGTCGTCAACACTTCGGATAATTACTTAAAAACGCTTTCATTAATTTTCATGAAATATTGGTGACTTGTTTATATCTATTGACGTAATTAGCTCCCTTTCGATATTTATCAATTTTAGATTTTAGATTTTACGTTTCTTAGGAACGGGATTTTATACATAAAAAAATGGTTCCCTTTCGATTTTCATCAATTTCCGATATTACATTGCGGAGTGATGGAACTTTATTCATTGAAACTTTTGGAGTATTGGGACCTTTTTCATAAAAAAGGGGGGATTTTCCAATTTTCAGACAATAACTCGAAAACGCTTTCAGTAGTTTTCATGAAACTTTGATGACTTGTTTATATGTATTGAAATAAGCTCAATTTTGTTTTTCATAAATTTCTGATATTACATTGCGGAGTTATGGAACTTAATTCATTGAAAAAATCGTCGAAACTGTCCATTTTTATTCACTTTAAACATAGACGAGTTATAAGGGCGACGGGCGTATCATGCGTTTTTCGTGCAGCTCTTTAATAAAATCTACGTCAAATCAGAATGTAAGCGATTCCTAGACGACTGCTTCATTATTTAGAACAAACGTCAAAATGTAGAGAAGTTTCACAATCTGATAAACACATTATATCCTTTTATTAAATTTATCATAAAAAAACTAGCATAGGTTGCCGTTTCTAGATATTTTAATATTTTAAGAATAGAACAAACTCATAATCTATAAGAAGACGGACACCCACCAATACTTGAATTTTCATTCCTGTCATCCTTCACACCCGAAAGACGTGCTTGTACTATTGTTTTTGACGAGTCCATGAAGGAAATACGTTTAAATTTTTTGGAAGGAACAGCATTATCCAAAACCTACTAATAGGCCAGGGAATAGAAAAGGCAAAATCAATACCCATGGAGCAACTCGGGTCCACAGCACAAAGACAGAGAAACACAGAATTATTCCTTTTGTAAGCACTCATAACGCATGCATTCCTGACATATTCAATGTCATGAAAGGCAAGTTTGACTAAAAACTGAAACATTAATAATACTATACTCTACGGAAACAAACCTGAAAAGCAAACGGCAGCCTCGAAATTTACCAAAAGATTTAAACAGGGGCTAAATGTCATGACAACTGGAATGGAATGCAACGTTTCAAAATGCAATGACACTAGATGTGGTCTTTATAAATATATTGAAACCGGACTTCAAATAACATTACTAAACGGCTAAATCTTTGTTCCAAATACAGATATTAATTTCTAAACGGAAAACCTAATTAACGGTATTGAATATAGCACTTGCAAGAAATGTTACATCTTTAAAATCGGTAATTCTATTTGCGAAAGAGTCCGAACGTAAGAACGCAAGATGTAAACGTATACTTGAAAACTTGCAGAAAAGGAACATATAAAGTATTTCCGATTTATAAAAAGAATGTGTTTTTCTAGTATTGATTGTCAATGCTTCTTTCAAAAATGTACGCGAAAAAAATTTGGTCAATAATGTAACCATATGATTCTAGCACAAATTGTACAGTATCTAGTCCTTGCATTCGGTATAGTACCAATATTGCAATATCCAAAAATTTTTAACCGTGAATAAATTATTTTAATTAATTCTGTTCGTTTACATTATGCATATTAGTTTATCGTGAAATCTTTACGTAAATATTTTCACGTATGTCTGAAGTTTTAAATGAATGTAAAGTAAACATTTTTTACCAAATTTTTTCTTTCGTTTTATTATATTATGTTGGACATACTCTTAAATCATAGTTATTAGTTTTAAAAATAGAATTTCAAAGTATCGTTGGATCTTTAAGAACAGGTATTTATTTTGTGCAATGTGTCTCTCATAAGCCAAATTGATCTGGCTGGGTATTGATTGTTCTATGTATGTTTTAATGTTATAGTAAAATATGTATGTCAATCAATAAAGGCAACAGTAGTATACCGCTGTTCAATAGGCATAAATCGATTAAGCGAAAACAAATCCGGGTCACAAACCAAAACCGAGGGAAACACATCAACTATAAGAGGAAAACAACGGAACAACAGAAACACTGAACTGCAACAAAAACAAACGCCAACATACATAGACACGGACTTTTTGATAACAACTGCCATATTCCTGACTTGGTACAGGACATTTTAAGAAAAAATGGTGGGTTGACGTGACAGGAAGAAGTACAATAAACGCAACAACACTCAGGACAGAGCAACACATAAATAATATAATAGTACATTACAACATGTAAACCACAGAATAACAACGGACACCTCCAATGAATCAACGACAGCACACCAGGACACCACAACGAATTATAAACTGTGCGTCACACGAATGTATCAACGTCACAAAAAGTGACAATATGTCACACAATAATAAAATAGATTATTATTATTCTATTATTATTGCATCTTCTTTAACGTTAGCCGCTCAATGATTCAAACACTTACAATTATCAACAATGAAACTATGTTCATATTGACAGTAGAGGCACATTTAAAGTATGTCCGTTTTATAAAACGAATGACCCTAAGAAATACAAACGACTGGCAAAGGAAGCACACTTCAGGGAAAGCGATAGTATTATTCTTCCATAGGCGACAATACTAACATTTTCGAAATTTACCACTTGTTATAATAAAAACCTGGACAAAACAGTTAGGTGTTATATTAGTACTTTACTATTCTGTTTAAGAAATTGAAGCCAAATGGTATCATTACCATCTTACAACGGAGCTTGTTATGGTATCCATGCCCACCATCAAATGTGAAAATGTGGAAGCCTTTTCTAATAATTCTCAAAAAAATATTTCAATGTGTTTCAAAATTTATACTATAAATATACACACTGCAGTTATTCAGAAGTGAATAAAAAATATATTGTACCCTTACATCACAGCCCTCCTAAATTGACTTCCTTCACCTACCTTGGGTACACGAAAGGCCAACCTACAACCGGAAAAATGTAATACTACTTTTTTCCCTTTATAAGATTCTTTCAACCGAAGTTAAACGGATCTCCGTGAACACGTTGGATTTATCTCCCATTATTACTTTTTGTAGCACATGAACGTTACCAACAACAGTGTCGTCAAGAATATTGTTAAATCGCAGCCTGATGATTGCCAAAAGGCATAAAAGCGGTAGTAAATTATTTTAACGAAAATGACATTATATGTGAAAAGTAGTCTTTCCGAATTATAAATTTTTAGAAACAGTTGGGTGCAGACCATGCATAACATAAAGTAAACGCACGTTTACCCCGGATGCACACATGTCATTTGTTTACTCCAATTTCCGCGTTTACTTTAATTTTGTTAAAGCGGTCAAAATGGAAATTTCTAATGTCTACTGAAGTAAACGCGCGTTTCCTTTGTGTTTGTTTAGTCAGTAGATAACGGGTGTTTACTTCAGATTCTACAAAAAAGTAAAATCACAAAAATACCGAACTTCAAGGAAAATTCAAATCGGAAAATCCCTTATCAAATGGCAAAATCAAAAGCTCAAACACACCAAAAGAATGGAAAACAACTGTTATATTCCTGACTTGGTACAGGCATTTTCTTGTGTAGAAAATGGTGGATTAAACCTGGTTTTATAGCTAGCTAAACTTCTCACTTGTATGACAGTTGCATAAAATTCCATCATATTGATAACAATGTGTGAACAAAACAAACAGACATAATAGGTAAAAATGTCAAAGATAGGGGTACAGCAGTCATCATTATATTATACATGTAATCTTAATAACTATAAAAACAACCAATCTGTCTACAAAGAAAAACAAAATGGCATATAGACAAAGCACATAAGCAAAAATGAAAAAGAAGAATACAAAAAATGACCACAGATTTACCTATGAGTGCACTTAGTAAATGTGTTTACTCTTCCGTTAATTATTTGTAAAAAATTTTAAATTAAATTATATTTTCTTGATTTAATGAATTTTAATTATAGTTTGAATATAAACAGATAAAACCATAATTTTTAAAAAGTATTTTCTATTTGATTCTCATGAAATGTTAAACTTGATTACAGCAATTTAGTTTCAACAAGGATGATTTGTATAGTAAGAGACATGACACAAATCCCTTTTGCTTCATCATGTGATGCAAATGATTAATAGATAAACTATCATTACACACCTATTTTCAGAAATTATTGGATGATTAAATATCGCAATACTTTATTGAAAAATAAAGTTTAAATGTAGGCAACCATAGTCATTGCGACAGATTTGCTTCAAGTTCTGAAATAAAACAGACGACATAAAATGGTCTCTGAAAATTATTTTTAAGCAATGTCCTCATTTCAAATTAAAAAATGGCGACTACGCCAAAATTATCTATCGAAAAAACTATTTGCCCGGTGGTTTATTGCATTTATATTTGATTTAATTATTTGACTTATATATGTAGGACTCTGAACCGCGATGGTACTCCGACCCGCGATGGTCACGTTGAAGTGCGATGGTCCACGCTGAAGTGCGTTGGTTAACACGCTGAATCAGAAAATAGACTGGATGGCTCAGATTAGGTATAAAGGATTCGAGTTGGAGGACATGTTTTTATATTGAGTGGGCAAGTTCGATAAAAAAAGAACGCGTTCAGCGAGGTTGTCTAAAGAACTAACTAAGCAGGATACATTTGATTTTATCAAATATACTAGTAACTTGTTCTAGTCATGGCATAGCTAAGAAATTGCTCACAACACTCATTCATCTATTGATCTGATATCATAACAGTTTTTAAGAAATAAAAGCCACGAAGTTTATTTATGCTTGACTCATAGTGAGAAGTAACGCTGGCTCTGTCAAAAGCTTGAGAATTAGCTGCTTCTCCGCTGAACAGCAGAAATTGAGAAGTACACCAAGTTGGGGCCATTCGGGTTTATTGTGGCCTAACCCATTACAGAAGATTAATACTGTAAACACATTAAAATTACTAACATTGCGTGTTTTCTTACAAACCAGGATTCATCTCAAGAATAAAACAAAATTGTCGCTACTTGATATAAAAAAACATTGCTAATAATTAATTTTATTTTATTATTAAGTTGTCCACACAAAATCATGTGATGTATACTTGAAGAGAAGTCAAAATTAATATTAAAATCAAGACATTTTTTTTGTTGTACAAAACGTTTGCGCCATACATTATACATGCTTCCGAACACTGGTTAGCCAATCTGCAGACCAAGATCATCTTTTAGCCGCATTGTTCCCCATGGTTTTCTGTCTGACTTAGTTTTACATATTTTTGTAACCTCTACCTCTTATGCTCAAAACTGTTCGGGACTTCAATCGTTCGTTTCATTCTGTTTCCTTTCCTTTGTACGCATGACACCTTCATCTACAAATCTTATTCTCCTGCCTGTGAATCCTTTTAGTTTAATAACGTTGTATCTGAAAACGTCACAAAATCCAAACGTCATGCAAAACTATCGCACTTCAGCGAAAGGACCATCGCACTTCGGCGTAGACCATCGCACTTTAGCATGACCATCGCACTTCAGCGTCCCTATCGCACCCCGAGTCCTCCATATATACATTGTAAAATGTCAAATTATTGGACTTGTTCATCGCTGCAGACCACAGCAATTGCTTTTTAAAAAAAAATCTTCCTCCGTAATAATTCCTTCCCTTTTATGTCATATTGTTGTGAAATATTTAAATTAAAATGTTATGGTTAAAATAACATTATCTGTAGTTATTTTTTAAAATGTAAATAACAAAGTTACTAAATGACTGGTTTTAAATGGTTGCAATTTTTTTCATAACCAAATTTTTAGATTTTCATTAGTTACCATTTTATTTTTTCGACCTTTTTATGGTTGAATATATATAAAACCACATTACATATACTTTGTATTATTGTAATTACTTTGATTGTTTTACCTTGTACAACTAAATAAAAATCCACAGGTTGCCATCTATAATGATAATATTCACATCTGTATATACCTTCTGCATTCCAATCAACATTAAATAGCGTAAGAACTTTTGACGAAGTGTTAGAGTATTTTCTGTTATCGTTGATTCTTTTACCTTTTCGCTTCCATTTGTAATGAGTTCCAGTATATCTACAGTTTAATCGCTGTTCTGTACTTATGTCTGCTATATCTAAATAATAAACAATATTAAATTGTTGAGCTGCGGTCTTATTGACGTATAACAAATGTTTCCTTCTTCTCTCGGCGAGATTCGAATCTTTGCTTCTGTGCCATCGTGGCAACACCGCCTGCGTCGTGTCCACCGCCCTAGATCACTTGACCAACTAGGCTATATACACATATATCGTTGAAGGTCGTGAATGATGGCGGTTGTGTATTCTTATTTGTTGTGTATTTTGGTGAAGGAGAGAATTTCATATCTGTGTAAAGATTTTACAGATCTTACATACATCATGTTTAGATTAGGAACATAATACACCTATCGAAACCGAGGCTAATGGCGGTCCCCAGCATTTTTTAGCTGTAGCAAAATATTTTTGAAAATGGGCATTTTGTAAGCCAAATATACACTTAGAACCACCCAAAAAAAAAATTTAAAACATGAATCAAATCAACATACAAACATTTAGCTACAAATATATAAATTGTTTGCTAGAAATGACACGTACGAAGTGAAAAGCACATCACCACGGTAACATAAATAGAAAATGGCGAATTTAGAAATAAAAAAATCTAGTCGAGTGAGAAAAACTTTTACGCTGTTGCCAAAGGCCATACTACGGGAATGTTCACCTCCTGGAGCTTATGCAGTAGAAGTGTAGATAAATTCTAAGGACAAATATATAAATGTTTTCCTGACATTGATAGTGCCCTCGACTTCCTTTCACCTTACTCCTTTAAATGCACAACAACACCAGTGTATGACGTCCTGGGAAACAGAAAACCGTTAAAGAGTACCAACATACATGCTGTATTTGTGATACGTCATTGTCAATAATCATTCTTAAAATTCAAGGGAACATAATATTAAATCTGCTATAACGAGTAATTCAACATCTGAGCTTATAGATTCCGACACAGATTCCAATATATCCAATAACTGGAATACCAGGATGACCTTGAGAACACCATAATCTCAGGCAACACAGACAATAACAACAATACCGCTCCATCAAAACAACATGACCTACTGTCACAGCAAACAGAGCTTAAAAGAGTGTTTCAGCTCACCAAGACATGTAGTATATGCCATACCCCAGACGACTCGAGCATTATAATATGTAATTCTTGTAACAAATGGACCCACTACGCATGTACAAACCTACCACCTTACATTTTTTGTATATTCTTTTCACCTTAAGCTCAACATAAAGAAAATGTACGTGTCAAAAGTGCGTTGTTATACCTGAAGATTTTATTCAAAAGATGGAAAACAACAAAAATGCATCAACCACCAACGCTTCATGTCAGACATCCACAGAAAATCAACCGGATGCTTCTTATCTAGACAGTGTAGCCAGCAGATTTCAAAAATTAATAGTGACATCTATCAATACATTAAATAGAGATTTGCCTAAACTTGAAAGTGACTTAACAGCAACCATACAGAAAGTAAACAACATAGAGAAAACTCTAAAAGAAAAACTTGCAACAATCATAACAACATAAAGTGACTCAAATGTAGAATAGACACGAAGTGATGCTACATTGTTAGAAATGGGCGAAAAAGTCAACCAAACCTCTGTGAAGGTAGAACAAATACAGAAAGACATAAAAGTGCTTAACTCACTACAAGAACCATCACTTCATGAACTGGTCGAGAAAAGCTACATGATGATCCCTGTAATTAAGAATGTAACACAAGACTTACCAAAAGACTGTAAGAGAATGGACGGAGTCGCACAGGAAGTTAAAAAATTAGGCATTCAAATAAAAACTTCATCCGAAGAACATCAGAGCAAGCTTGAAGAGAAATCAATGATACATGCGTTATCAGAAAGTAAAACCAAACCAAGCTATGCATGCAAAGTTCAAAACAAATTTGAATTATTAGAGCGTGAAAAGTTATGTACAAATATTGATGTAAAAAAGGTATCCGATAAAATATGTAACAGTGATGAAAATCTTTGTACAAATTTTAATGAAAAAAATGAGCACAATGATAGATCAGTAGGTAATTCACCAAAGGGCCACACACAAAATAAAAATTCAGGCCACAATAGTCAAACAACCAAAAACCCTGATCACACAAGGCAGAGAATAGATAAACAAACCAATAAAAGACGTAGCATAGACAGACAAAACACACAAAACAAGATTTTGTTATTAAGAAACTCACCTAAGACAAATTAGAACAAATGAGTTTATCAGGGGTTACTCAGTAAGGAAATAGTTATGTTACACAATTGAAAAAGCTAAATCTTATATAAAATCTTGTACTGAGGTGTTTGATTGTGTAGCCTTGCACCTCTTCACAAATGATGTAAGAAACAATGAAACATGGGGAACGTCTGTAGAGAGTTCGCTTCCCTAGTTGATAGCATAAATGTAAAATGGCCATCTGCTTCTATAGTGGTCTCATTGGGGATATGTCGAGGAGACTCTTACATCTTGAACAAAAAAATACAAGAACGCAATATAATCTTTCAGCAAACTTTCCTGCATAAAACGCACAAATACCTTTGTGATAACTCTCCCTTAGGGTACAGAGGCCATGCCAACCATAGATTCCTTAATTTTGACAAGGTACACCTCAACTTTGAAGGAACCAAAGTTTTTGTTACAAACCTCAAATTTGCCTTATATAAGGCACTTAACATTAAGAGGAATAGAAACTCTCATTGTAGTTGGATATCAGGTCAGATCAATTATGACTGGAATTATCCATACTTTAATTGAATGAAAAGGCAAAAATATGTAAAAATGTAACAAGACTTTACATTGTTTGTTATTATTGCATTATTATAATTGATTATATACGTATAGTTTCCTACATATACATGTATTTCTCTATTTAAGAGTTTTAGTAACACGTTCACTGTTTGTATAGTCTGTATGTGGATTATTATTTTATTTTTTAATGTGAGATTAAGACTCAAAACACTGGTGCAAATAATATGTTGCATTACCAAAGTTTGAAATACTTAAATCAGTACAGTGAAAGATAGTTAAAAAAACCACCTTGATACTGACTTTTATCATCTGTTAAACGTGTTAAAAGATACATGACTGAGAACTAAATCTAAAAGAGTACCAGTTTTTTGTTTTTATTATCAATACTTTTTTTTGAGTCTGTCCACAATATCTTAACACATAATGTTGCTTGAATCTATAAATGATAGGAATATGTACACACAAGTATGTACTTATATATATACATTCCCAAAGAAAGTGTAAAATTTTATGAATATAAACAAATGTATATGTAGTTTATTTAATACATCACAAATCACTATAGCACACAGTTACATGCAACTCATATTTTTATGACTTATATTTACTGGTTCCAGTGTATTTATTGATCATTGTAAGCACACATGATTTATACAAAAAACAAATTTCAACATGGAATATCAATGGTTATATCAGTAATGGATTTAATAAATTTGAAGATGATATTTTAAAAATATTGACAATCTTTTACAGCAAGACATTTTTTGCTTGCAAGAATCCCACTGTGATCTGGATAATTGTAAAGAACTTCCAAATTTTCAAAGACCGGTTCATCTTATAAGATCTAGAACTAAACATACTTAGGAATAAATTTTTCAGCATATTTGAGCTTCCAAATAGCAAAGAACGAACTTTATAATAACGGAACGAAAGCTTATTTCAAATTAAGGAAGACCTTTTGAGTGGAAAGCCCAAAACCTAGTTCTTTATTACATATTTATAACCATACAATCCGACCCATCTGGTTGTATGGATCTGAAATTTGGGGTTATATACCACATAAGAAGCAAAAACATTTGGATAACTTTATATCAAAAGAAACTGATTATCTTACTCTAGAGAAAATTCATACTAAGCTTTGTAAATTTTCACTTGGAGTTAATTTAAAAACATCAAATATGGCATGTAGAGGGGAACTAGGTTCACTCCCTACACTTTATTATGTAATTATCAATATGATAAACTATTGAATTCATCTTATGAAAGAAATTGAACCTTCAAATATTATCCTATGGGAGGCCATAAATCTATCCCATTCTATAAAAAACCCTAAGCAGGAATCATGGATAGGAAACATTAAACATATAAATAAAATTTAAAATAAGTTGAGTAGCTAGTTTAAAAAGCAATTCTGGGAAGTGTACCAATATACAGAAATTTGTTTGGATTCTTTCATCTAAAGATTTGTTTGTTACTTCAAACGTATTTAAGATATTGCACTCCCTTTTTAAAGAACGAAAGAAACTCTTAGAAAATATCAATGTTGTTTGAAAAAGATAGAAAAAAATATAATAAAATCCACTAGGAATTGTCTCCCATAGACCTAGGGCTATAAATTGATTTAGAATTGTAATTTCTCCAGGTCACAGTGGCTTCCAAAATAACTTAATGTTTTGTCAATAACATGGTTTATAATTATGTTACTTTGTTTCAATGTGTATACATGTTTCTGTTTAAATGTACTTTAATCATTCTAATCATTTACTGTGCTTTATTTTGTAACTCATTTGATTGTATAGCTCAAATTTTGGGCACCATAATTGGTTAATAAAATTACCTTATCTTATCTTATGTTGTACTGTTACACCACTGTCCCAGATAAGGGGAGGGTTTGGCGCCCGCTAACATGTTTAACCCCGTCACATTCTGTATGTGCCTATCCCAAGTCAGGAGCCTGTAAATCAGTGGTTGTCGTTTGTTGCTGTATATCATATTTGTTTTTCGTTCATTATTTTGTATATAAATCAGGCCTCGTTTCAATTGTTTGAATTGTTTTGCATTTGTCATTTCGGGGCCTTTTATAGCTGACTATGCGGTATAGGTTCTACTCATTATTGAAGGGCGTACGGTGACCTATAGTTTTTAATCTTTGTGTCATTTGGTTCTTGAGGATGGTTGCCTCATTAGCAATCATACCACATCTTCTTATTTTATATCATAGTGTTTTTTTAGTGTGAACACTGAACATTTTTTCTCCAAGTATCTAAAGAAAACTTA